CTGATATCTCATTTCTCACAGCACCTCTACAGGAAAACAGCAGAAACACACGTGAGAAGATGATTTATTGAACTGTTAAAAGTTTGCCAACAACATCTATGACTGGTATTATAAAACTGAAAATAGAGATGCTTTGCAGAATGCCAAGGCTGCTTTTTTCAGCCATTCACACTGTCCTAAAATTAAAAAAAAATGCAGAAATCATTGTCCAGTTTCATGCATGGAAAATATCAGCTTGGAGACTTCTCTTATTTTCAAGATTTTTGAAACATTATTTTCAAGATTTTATTTTAGGTTCAGTTTAGTTCAGTTCAGTATAATGTAAATGTCACTGCTGAAAGACGAAACGCTGAAAAGCAACTCCACTGATGAGCCGATTTAATCAATTTATGATTTAACATACAGTTGAAACCAGAAGTTTACATACACTCTGAAAAAAGGAACATAAGCAAAAACAGTTCACATATTGTCAGGACTGATTTCTTTGTTTTTGATTTCAATGTAGAAGCAATGTTGTGACGAGTGCTTTTGATTGAGTTAGTGACAACTAGTTGATTTTTTTGGCATAACATACTTCAACCAAGTGGTAGAGACGGCTCAGTCAGGTTTAGTTAAGTTAGGTAATCCTCTCAATAAGATATTAATTAATTAATTCATTCATTTTCTTGTCGGCTTAGTCCCTTTATTAATCCGGGGTCGCCACAACAGAATGAACCACCAACTTATCCAGCAAGTTTTTACACAGCGGATGCCCTTCTAGCCGCAACCCATCCCTGGGAAATCAATAAGATATGGTCAGTCAAAACATTGTCAACCGTTTGATCGAGCAGGCAGTTAAAGGGATAATATATAAATATTAATATATTTACAGATTTTAATTAAAACAACTTCTTGCGTTGTGATTCTTGTGAAGAAAAAATCTATGTATGGAAATCGTTGTCAATGCTTATTGCTTAGATATCGAATTGAACTGAATCGATGGCATGATAATCTTAACCAAACTAAACCAAACCGTGAGACCAGTGTAGATTCACACCCCTACCAGGTACAATTATAGACCTTTTTCTTGGCTGCTGGATGGAGGGCGCCATAGCGACCAGCGTCTTCTGGTAGAATGTTTAGAACTTCCATTTACAGCGTTTACAACCGGTAATTTGCGATCCGAAAATGGATTTCAATAGTGTCTTGAGTGGATTAAGGAGTGTTTTTGTGACACAACTTTGAAAGGTGCGTGTTAAAGCTGTTATAATCGGTCAGATCTGTGGTTCAAGCGCGAGAGAAAAACAGTATTGTAAGCCATGTTTCTTTTTGTTCTGCTTAATCTCTTGCCCCAAAAAAGATATTTAAAATAAACAGAACAATATGATGTCTTTTGACTGCTTTCTTTAATAACTACATTACACAATACTTGTATTTTTACTTTCAGTACTTGAGTATAAAATTTTGAAATAAACTACTTGCAATACTTAAGTACAAAAATGTTGAATACTTTAGTACTTCCACTTAAGTATGGTGCTTAAAGAGCACTTCTACTTCTACTTAAGTCTTGGTCTCTAGTACTTTATACATCTCTGCCCACAGGCTAGAAAAATGAGTAAGAACTGCTGAACGACATGCTTGCGTATTCCAGGCATCCCGAGTTGAAAACATCTTCAAGTCACGTGACAAGAACCGACTGATTGGCTTCATAGCTTGTATATAATTTCGTTAAATGAATATGACTCTGCCTCGTTTTTGAACTGTGCATATGCTACTTTATTTCAACATTGTTGATTATGGTGGTACTTGGAGAGACAATTTTTTTTCTGAGGTGGTACTTGGTGAAAATACTTCGAGAACCACTGGTCTAGATGATGCATTGCATGTTTTTTTATAATTTACATAAGAGTCTAGTTTCTTTATTATTTGTCTATATTACTGTACTTTCACTCTGTCTGCCTTACTGGAATGTTATTTCGTGCTGCATTTAGGAACAATGGATCAGTATTTGTTTCATCACATTGAGATGGATAAAAACGCTGCAAACTGATGAGTAGTCAAAACACCAACAAATCAGGAAGTCAGACAATAGTGTGCAAATGTCTCTTAGCTCCAAAAACGTCACCGTTTCAGATAAGAAAAAAAGCTTCTCACATCCTTTGACACTAAATGTGGTGAGAAGTTCTTACATATTTAACATGACTATTGTGCCTGTCTCATTGTAGAGTGTCTGTTGGTGTGAACGGATTGTCAGAAACTGCTGAAAAGCTTATGATTAGATGAAGAAAATGATCAAACTGGATGGTGTTGTTTTTCAAACTCTGTAGAAAAGAGATAATAGCTCTTTTTTTTGTGGTATTGTTAAAATATAAGCAACAAACCACCATGTTTTGATATGAACATTTTCTCATGGTCACTGTATATGTAAACACACGCAGGCTTTGATTTCTGTAACAATGTGTTTCCCATGTAATAATTGAAGTAATGTTATTATAATTTTTGTTTGCATATATTTATTATAAATGATGCACATGATGGTTAGCCAGTGCAATTGTAGTTAAAGCACGAAGACGACCAAATTAAATGTATTCAATGTGAATTAAACAGAAAGCACATGTCTATTGAAGGTTGTTCCCATCTTTTAAATATAACATTTCAGCTCTTGCCATCAAAAAGACGTTTTAGGCAACCTCAAGTAAAGAAAAATGTGTATCAAATGTCCTTTGTGCCGACTGCTGAATTTTAAATACTGGGTTCTAAGCATGTATAGGGTTTTAAATAGTTTTAATGTGATATATGTGATGACGTTGCGGTGCTTCTCACAGGTTTGAAATATACTTGTGGTGGTAGCCTGATTGAAACCCACCTTTTACTCACAGCGCATAAATAGATGTGACAAACAAAACATAATTCAATTTTTAACACTATTTTTTTATTATCTGTTTAACCTTTTTCTTTTCAATGGGTTAAAGTAAAAAAAAGACTTGAAATAAATAAATAAATAAAAATGCACTGTTTTATGCTAATCAGGAGGCATGTGCACCCACTGACAGGTCAAATCTGCTTCTCGCCATCTCTGACAAGTTCAGATTGCTTTATTAGCTATCTATTTTGTATAATATTGCCAGAGCATTTTAGGTGAATAAAATTTGCAATATATTAACATCATCAAATTTATAAAGTCTACAGCAAATGAGAAATTTATGACAGAAAAAAGGGAATAAAAACAGACAATATCTCAAAAAATGTAATAATTTCAAGAATAAAAGTAGATTGTTTTTATTAGCTGTTTCTAATGGTGTACAAATATTCTGCAGCCAGTTTAGATGTGATTTCGTCCTCTCCAAGTAGTTAGTAATGTTTTTCTGAGTTGTTTATATTAAAGAATTAATTATTTAATGTCTCTCTCGCGGCTCTGCGCATAAAATTAGCTTAAAAAAAGCTCAGAAAACATAAGCAAATCTCGGACATTTTAGTAGATTTAGAAACCCCGGCCGGACACAAAAAGGTGCGGGTCTCTGTGTGTCTGCACTGCAGAGCACATGAGACATAAGCCTGTGCGTTGACTGCATACACAGAACGAGCAGTATGAAACAGGTAAAGAAGAGGGGATATCCACTACTTAATCGCTTGTGGTTGTTTGTTTATGATTGGTGGATACAAAAAAGCGAAAAAGGGTGATAATATTAGTAAAAAAAAATGTGTCACTAACTTATACTTTAATTTATACGTCCATTAATATACCTTATTAATCAAAATTTGCTGTGTTCTTATTGCTACTGTTCATTGATATTCTTAAGTGAACAATTAATCTTTGCAAGTTAATCCACTGAATTGTATTTTTTATTTATTTTTTTGGTTTGGTAATCTTCAGTAAAAATCTGACCATTTGCTTTGGCACTTTGAGCGGCTGTACTTCTGATGAAATTAGTTTAATGACTTCAGCCACAATATTCTTAACCACACTCCTCTTATCATTAGTTTGCCATAAGGAAATGGTGAGCAAAAAGAAACCCCGCCCTCTACTCAATATTTTGTTTCCGTTGGAAGTATATCATCATACTGAAATAAAATCTCAGCGACTTTCGGTTCACACTGACTTCAAATTCCTGGAATAAGTACCATTTTAAACACATTAATTAGAAAAATTATTAAAAGGTACAGTTAACTAAAAATGAAAATGGCCTCATCATTTACACTCCGTCATTTAGTTTTCTTCTTTTGCTAAACACACTAAAAAGATATTTTGTTTTTGCCAAAAGCCTAGCGATTAAATGCGCCGACATACAGCACTGTGGTGCTCGCAGTGACCCGAGTTTGATTCCCAGCTCAAGGTCCTTTGCTGAAGCTATGCACAATCATTGTAATTGGACAATAATTAAATCAAGATAATCATTTTGTGATGACAGCTGTTTGCATAGTCTCTCAATGATCTGTTTAAATGCCGTATGTGAAAATACCACATTGAATTATTATTTTTTACTCCAAACTTACTTAAAAGCTTCAGTCGATTGGTTGAAATAAATACTTCTGTGAGGTGATTTCATAGTCTTGTAATTTATTAGTCATGTTGAATCAACGAGCCCAGATAAATCTTCTGTTTATTATAATGCAATGCTCTGGGTTTCTTCATTGTGGGTGTTTGAAGTTTTTTGCGAGAGTGCCCTCTGTCCTTTAGAGGAGATACTGATCACACAACCATGCTTACCTGACAAGATGTACATGACAGCTTTTGCTTCGCATTTGAGATTTAACCAAGCCCTAATAACAGTTATTAACAGTTACATGTAGTGATATTTCACAATCTTTCTGTAATTTACTGTATTTTGAGACTCAACATTCAGCAGGTTGAGAGACGTATAAAAAAAGTGTTTTATTATAAACCTTACTTATGCTTCTGTTGCACTTTTATTACATATTTTCTGTTCAGCTTTTAATAAATCCTGATATTATTTTCGTAAATGTCTGTTAGTGGTTTATTTCTATAATACTCACTGTCTAACTGTTCTTTATTTCTCCAGGCTTACAATATTCATGTGAATGGCGTCTTGCATTGTCGAGTACGATACAGCCAACTCTTGGGCCTTCATGAACAGGTGAGCACACACTTTCATCGAGCAGCATGCTTGACCTTCGTTTCTGAAATTAGCATTACCTTGATGTTCACATGTGTCAAGAATTAGGTTGGAATAGGAAAATGTTTTCTGAGAAAACACAATATTTAAACAGCTGTTTCTGAATTACTGGCTTTAAAATAAGCCAGTCAGTGCCGTGGATGCTGTTTGATAAAAAGTGAGACGGAGTAAAACTACACTAGACATTATGTTTGGTATTAAAATATATTGGTTTCATTTCAATATATTCTTACAATTAGGATCAAATATGAATAATTAAAGGGTCCTTGCGGTTAGATTTAAAAATCCTCTGAGAATTAGTGCTCATATTCATTATTAAGCATGAATTTAAAGTAGCTAAAGTGAAATAGATGCATTTTTAATGTGGAGCTTAAGAGGTTCATTTTTTGGTTAATATACAGCTCTGGAAAAATGAATGACCACTTGACTGTTTTTCTTTGGTTTCACAATTTATCTGTTTGAGTACCATAGCAGTTTTGTTTTATACTGTGAACATCTGATAACATTTCTTTCTAATGTAAAATAATAATGTTGTCATTTAGAGTTTATTTTAGTTTTGTTTTTGGCCTAAAATAACCAAAAATCAATATTTGGTGAACATCACTGTTCAAATCTATTGACGAGTCAAATACTCAACTATCTCTAGTGTCCTTCCTCATTAAACAAATGAGTCACTTATTCACATGTAAACCAGGATTCATCATACAAGGGATAAATGATTCAGACAGTGTAAATAGGACTTCCATTGGTGTGAATGGAGGTTGGTTTCAGACTCTGCACTGCTATTATTGACTGTGGTAATCATGAGTCCGATGTTCTTTAGCTCATCCACTCTGCCTGTCAGAGCTGTGTTATAAATGAATTGCTATTAAATAGAGGAGGGGCTACTTGAAATGTCCAGCCCTGTCTTCGTGATTAAATTGACATCTGAACAAAGCTGCACATTTTAAGGCACTTCAGAGGACCCAAATGTTTTGGATTCAGTTTTTTGTTAGGCAAGGTGCATTTATCTTTCAGCATCGATATCGCAATAGTCACATATAATTGATCATTTCCCAAGTGTGTTTTGAGGCCTGTGACTGTGTGAGGGTTTTAGGAGCATTCGGGCATAATAAAATGTGCCGTTTGTAACTTAAAAAAATTATTAACTATACATTTTATGTAAATGTTTTAAAATTGAAGACGATGCAGTATTATGTTTTCATTTGATTATACAATTACTGTATACCTGAATACATTTCGACTGTTCATAAAACAATAAAATGCTGTTTATTTAATTCACTTATTTACTGAATTTTTCTGTACTTGTAGATAGTTTTTATATTTTATGCATTCTCCGACAGAATCTTCCCAATCAGTCTAAAATTATAGATTCTTTACAAACAATTCAACTCATCTATTGTATTTATATCACAATATATAACTCAAAATAAAACAAATATTGCAGTGTGTAATTCTATTAGTATTGTGCAGCCCTGATCTACACTATTCATTTATCTAATGCACAATTTTAGTCTGGCAGGAATTAATTACTATTATTGGCACACTACGTAGTGCTGTCGCTTCACAGCAAGAAGGTCGCTGGTTTGAGCCTCGGATCGGTCAGTTGGCATTTCTGTGTGGGGTTTGCATGTTCTCCCTGCGTTTGCGTAGGTTTCCTCCGGGTGTTCGGTTTCCCCCCACAGTCCAAAGACATGCGGTACAGGTGAAATGGGTAGGCTAAATTGTCCGTAGTGTATGAAAGAGTGTGTATGGATGTTTCCCAGAGATGGGTTGCAGTCGGAAGGGCATTCGCTGCGTAAAACATATGCTGGTTAAGTTGGTGGTTCATTTCGCTGTGGTGACCCCAGATAAATAAAGGGACTAAGCAGAAAAGAAAATAAATGAATAAAAGTTAACTTAATCGATTTGTGTTGAGACAACATAAAAAAGAATTATGTGCAACCCAGCAGTTTTTACAGTGTAGAAGTCATAGTAAAAGCTGCACGATTCTGGCTAAAATGAGAATCACAATTTTTTGCTTAAAATAAAGATCAGGATTTTGTCATGATTCTGTGTAAAATAAAGACTAATATGAGTTGGCTATTATTATTGTTAATCTCAAACATGTGATAAAACTACAATGATAATATTATGTGTAGGTCTGCTGGTTAAAATACTAAATTTTAAATAGACTTTGAATGGAGGACTTAAACTTTTAATTTGTCCTGGTCATTAATGCACAGTAAAGGGATGCCATCAGAATATGACTATTCATAATTCTGATGTTGAATTATTTTGTTTGAGACATATGCTTGTATATGCTTCTATTTTATTCACTGGTAAAATGTGGACATTTGTCATCATCAGATTTCCTCGTACATTATATTTAAGATTATATAGGCTAGAGTAGTTATACTGACACTGATAAACATTTATTTTCATGCACAACATATTAAATGCTTGTCGTAATCATAACTCTACAATGCAATATGATCATTTAATGATTTCGTTTTCATTGCTAAGTGCTGTTCATACTTCCAGCGCGGCTCCCAAACTGAATGATATTTACAACTTTATTACCTGTTATTCACAGCCTATGCAGGTTCTGTCTGCTAAAGTTGGCCTGCGTGCGTCTATCATTAGTAGGGCGCGTGCCCGCCCTCTCTGTGGTAACAGCTCATGGTCAGCAGAAAACTTCATATGGGGTTTCGCGGCCTCGAATACATCATTGCATGATGACAAAAATGACATTTGTGGGTGAATTGTACCTTATAAATACAGTATGTGACTCTTTCAGCACCATTTGGAGGTGTCCACGTTGCTAAGCTATGTATATAAAGCGATTTGTAGGGCTGCCTTTGCTTCTCTGCTGAACTTGAAATTATGATTAGCAGAATCGTAGTAATGCTGGATTAAGATCATCTAGGGGTTGAATCGAGATCGCAAACTTTTTCTGATTAATCGTGCAGCTCTAAGTCACAGATGCTGATAGGGATTAACCAACTTGCAAACATGCACAAAATATTTTCGAAGAGGTAGCTAACACAGGGTTACTATGAGCTATTAGTAATGCCCATGTCATTTACCCTCTCTGATAGTGACTAAATCAGAACGGGAACTAGATGATTTAAAATGAAACTTTTGTCGAATGTTGTAGGGATGCACTGAAATAAAGATTCTGGGCCCAAACCGAAAGTTCAGGATGCACTTGGCCAAAAATATAAGGTATTTGTTATAATTCTCAATTTTATTAAATAATATAATTTTGTATTTCTTTAATTAAACTCAATAACTTATACTGATTTAAAAAACACAAGCCAATAAAGTAACATTTATCAACCTGATCCGCAAAACTAGTTTGTTGCAAAAGTATAATTACATTTAGACCACTTTAAAGGTGATCTTTCTCAGTAATTTAATTTTGCTATTCTTTTTTAAATGTTCAAGCAGTTAAATTTTCTAATATATTTGTCAATTTTTCTCCATTTTTATGAAAATCAAGCAAAACTAGTATGAACTTGTCTTTAACCTCGCAAATGACCATGAAATAAGCTGTATAATAAATGGCTGGCTGTGCATTAACCATGTTGGGGCGGTTCTTTGCCCTTCCATTGTGCACTGAAAAATCTTTTAACACACAGCAATCTGTTGATTATATCTTGCTTATAAGCACTGTACATCTCTTATATCTTGGATAGATTTGTACATGATTCGTTTTAGTCACTCTGCAGTCAGCCCAAAAAAAACGCCTATAATTTGCTTCAAAATATTTACTGAGGTTGTGTGAGAAACACAGACATGTTTGATTTGGACTGGATTAAATTCAGCGAATACGCCTGTGAAACACGCTTCTCATCTGAAGCAGTGAGCATATTCAGCAGTGATGGACTATTTTGGAGTGGTTGTCCTATGGAAGTGAATCGTCGTTTTTTCGTGAAATATTCTGGCGATTACCTTTTGAAACACCTCTAGTTTGCCAGACTGTGAGTTTGGTCATGAATGAGGTTGGAGAAGTTGAGTGATCTCACCATCAAGTGTGTGTTGTGTTGTTTCATTGCTGCTGTTGCTAGGTAACAGGGCGTTGAGGGCCTCGTCAGATCATACGTGCTCATATGATGCAATCCATATAGGCTGACATGCTGGAAGCTTAAGTTATCCCTTAAAATGGGCCCCGGAATGTTACAATAATTTACTAATTTTTTTATTTATAAATAAATAAATAATTTAAAAAGTAAATTGTAATTTAGTATTACGGACATGGATATATTGTTCCATTGCATATTTTGTAAAAACAAATTTAATAATGCATTCAAAATATTTATCCCTAAATAAAAAAAAATACTTTTAAAGAAAAAAAAAAGAAAATATTGTCTTAACAATGATCCTATTTAGCTTTAAGTATAAACCCCAGTTCCACAGTTAAATGCGCCATTATGCATGTATGTATGTATGTATGTATGTATTTTTGTCTGTGTGTGTTTTGTGTTTTGTTTTGTGTGTTTTGTTTTGTTTTGTATTCTTTGTTTTGTGTTTTTGTTGTTTTTTAGTTTTGTTTTGTGTTTTTGTTGATTTGTGTTGTTAGATGTTTTGTTTTGTTGTTTTGTGTTGTTTTTTGTTTTGTTTTGTGTTTAGTTTCATGTTTTGTTTTGTTTTGTTTTGTTTTTTTTATTCATTCATTTTATTTTTGGCTCAGTCCCTTTATTAATCAGGGATCGCCACAGCAGAATGATCGCCAACTTATCCAGCATATGTTCTACGGCTACGCTTTACTGTGGGGAAAACTGAAGCATCCAGAGGAAACCCACACGAACGCAGGGAGAATATGCAAACTCCACAAAGAAATGCTACCTGACCCAGCCAAGGCTCAAACCAGCGACCTTCTTGCTGTGAGGCAATCGTGTTACCCATTGGGCCACCGTGACGGCCTGTTTTGTTTTTTTTGTTTTGTGTGTTTTGTTTTATTTGTTGTTCGGTTTTTATTTTTTATAAATAAGTTAATTAAATTGTGTGCATTTTATTATTTTTCTTCAAATTAATTAAATAGCTTTTATTTATTTAAATTTCAGTTATTCATTGAAATTCTTCCCTCTTCCAGTATTCCAGCTAGCTGCAACATTTCTAATTTGCATTTAAATATCTTTCCCCCTAATATTCGTATTAGTTTGTGGTATTTATTCTTTATTAGTTTTGTTTATTAGTTGTGTGTGTGTGTGTGTGTATTCCCCATTTAATAAAATCCCAGTGACACAGATGGGGCAGCAGCAGGCATCATTTTAGTAAATGCTGTGAAGTGTAAACAGATTTATTAGCCCTGGTGCCTTTAGAGAGCCACAGTCAGCATGATCAACAGTGGACAAGGACAGACAGTGGACACTTTCATTTTGTCCTCTCACAAGTACCAACTTTCCAGAATTTGACTTTAATAATTGAACTAAACTTTTCTCCTTGTGTTGTTTCAGATAAAAAAAGAATATGGAAATAACGTGGTGCCTGCTTTTCCACCAAAGAAGATCTTTACTCTCACACCGGCTGAAGTCGATCAGAGAAGAGAACAGCTGGAGAAGTACATGCAAGCTGGTGAGAAAGTGTTGGTCTTCTACTAAACAAAAACAATTTAAATCTTAAGCAATACAAAGATTCACTTTAAACGAGTATAGTGAAACAATCAATAGTTTGGAGTCGCTAATTTTTTTTATGTTTTTAATGCTCAATAAAGTTGAATTTATTTGATCAGAAATACAGTAAAAATGCAATGTTTTGAATTATTACTACAATTCAGGATGATTATTTCTATTTTAATTAATGAGCAATTCCAGCGTTACAAATGCAACATTTGTAGTAAAAATTCAAAACATAAATTCACAGAAAAAAGTATATGCTAACATTATATTAAAACATCTGTTTTTATTGTACAAAACAACTAATCACAGATTTATGTGATCAGAAAAATATAATTCTGTAAATATTTTTATATTTTTAATGAGGAAAATAAACATGCATTATGCATATGGCGAAAATTTTTTGCAAATTTACAACATTCTTTGTAGTAATTCTGTGAATTAAACTGCACAACCCAAAATAAATAATGCTAATCAAATGCACAAGAGTCAGCTCACTAGAGGACAAAAATGATTGATTTTATTTTACATTTTGCGTTTATTAAGGAAAAAAATTAATTATAGATTAGGCGTCTCACCGGTATGCATTTGACAGATATGAAATTGGCACTTGTGTGACTTTGGTAAATCAAATATAATAGTTTGAGCGTTTTTAAAGTACTGTGAAATGCTTGCGCAAAAAAAAAAATATATATATATATTTTTTTTTTTTCATGGCATGGTTGACATTTGTATGGAATTGCTTTAATGTTAAAAACTATTTTATCACTGTGATGGCAAAGTGGATTTTTCAGTGTGATTACAAATCATATGATCCTTTGAAATCATTTTAACCCTATAATTCTTTTGGTTTTATTTATATTCAGAATTTTATATTTTAGTTTTTCAGTTTAAAAAACATTTTAGCTATTTATCTGCATTTGTATTGTTTTAATAATTATTTAAATAATTTGTTGTTGTTTTAATATTACATATAATGATAGCATTATTATTATTATTATTATTATTAATAATAATATTATTCAAATAAGTAGTTAATTTACATTTATTTGATAGTTGTAGCAATATTGGTCCTTTTATTTCACGTTATTTCAGTTCATATTCATATCAGATTTTATGATAATTTTATGCTCAAGAAATATTTTGTATGTTTTTTCAAGATGTACATATTTAATTATTGGCTGCGGGCCATTGAATAATGTACACGTGATCATAAATAATGCACATCTGAGGTTATAATGTGGCCACGACCCAAATCAAGCATTCAGCCTGGAACTGCTTTGGCTGTGTGTGTGTATCTGAAAATAATCACAAGCCTTAGAATGTTTATCAGCCAATTAGAATCAAGCATTCAACAACCCAGTAGTGTGTATATATTTGTCACAAAATATTGTGTATACATGTTTTTTAATAAAAAAAAAAAAACATTTTACAATCTTCTGTCAAAAATGGAGCAAATCTGATGATTCATCTTGCACTACACTGATTTTCATCCTATCAGATGCTATCTAAAATTAGAATTAGGATGCCGCCTTCTACGGAGACAAACCCAATTTGCAGCACACAAACAGAGGCAGTCCAACGTGAAAAAACACCAGCTAACAGCTCTTCACTTCTCTTTACAATCTGATGATTGCCGATACACCAAGTTCAGTTGCCAAAAATAGGTACTGTTAAAAGTGTCTGTTGCCATCCGTCTGTGTGGTGTGAATAGGCCTTAAGAACTAGCAAGTCATGATTCACGCATGTGATGTAATTGAAGCCTGTTGTCTTCTAATATGTTCCACCCAAAATCCTGTTTTAACAGGAAGTTACGTCAAATTTCTGCTCGCAAAGCACCAGGCAAACTTGATAAAAGATGGCCACAGCTGTGAGGATTTGTCTTTTAACAGGTTACGGGTGAGATTTTCTGCGCACAAAAGGAAATCAGCAGTGCTGGCAGCACCAAGAGCCGTTTGCGCTAATCCATTCCAACACTGGCACTCTCCATCCAACAAGCTAAGCCTTGTTGAGCTTATTTGCTCACAGTCTGGAGCTGCTCTTGGCCAGGGCTCCCCTCTGTTACATCACTCAGAAACACGGTTATGGAAAATTAACCCTCACAAACACACAAGCAGTTCACAACGAATATTTCGTTAGTTTGCGCAAACGGTTTGTGGTTGTTTGCTCGTGTGCTATTTTGGAAGTGAAAATAAACATTATAGTTTATGTTGGACTTTTTGCTTCCAGCATCGTTTTTTTCCCCCACTGCAAAGCTAAAGTCATTATCAGTCAAAGAGCCGGGGTGGTATTTTTAAAGAAAACGGTTAACTATATTCCAGATCAGTTAATATTATTTTGACTTTTAAAACATTGAAAATTACGTTATCGTTCAGTTAACACAAAACATGAACAATATTTTCATATTTGACCTCTAGATACACAGATACAGTTGAAGACACAGTTATTAGCCCTTCTTTTTCCTTGTTAAACAGTTTCCATACATTTATTAAAAGAGCAAGGAAATTTTCACAGTATGTCTGATAAAAAAAAAATTCTGGAGAAAGTGTGATTTTGTTTTATTTTGGCTAGAATAAAAGCATATTTAATTTTTTAAAAACCATTTAAATATAAATAATAATATTAGTAATAATAATAATATAATAATAAGACCCCTTAAGACTTTTTATTTTATTTTTACTTGGTTGTCTGAAGAACAAACTCCTGTTATACAATTATTATTATTATTATTTTTATTATTACAATTATTCAAATATAGCTTTAATTTGCATTTATTTTAGCTGTAGTAATGTTAATCTTTTCATTCACATTATTTCTCAAAAAAATAAATAAATAAATAAATAAATATATATATATATATATATATATATATATATATATATATATATATATATATATATATATATATATATATATATATATATATATATATATATCAGGGCTCGTAATTGTGACCATTTTGGTCGAATATGCGCCCGAAATTTTATTTATGCGACCTCAAAATATATTTGGGAGCATTTGTGCGAGTGCTTAAAATTGTTGTGAGCGACCAGTTTTACTGCAAAATGTTTACCACATGCGCGGATTCGGGAGACATTCACGCAGAATGCATCTTTAAGCTGTTTGTCTGCACATGAAACGTGAACCGCAGTGCTCAGGAATGGTTTAAAACAGTTGTCATGTCAACTTGCTGCAGTAAACAAAGCCAAGTCCGTAATGCATGCCCCGCCTTCATGCTCTTCTTATTGGCCCACCACTGCTCTAGCACTGAACGCGAATGATTGGTTATTATCAGCTGTAAATCACTCAACCAATGCCTTCTGGCTTGGGATGACAGAGAGAGCTGCTACCGCGAAAAATTGTAAAGCGTTGAAGATGAGAATGAAGATAACACAGACAGGTTTAGTTTTAGAAACCATGGCATCTAAAGTTATAAATAATGATACATCTTACTAGTGACTATGTGCTGAATGTTAATCTACCTCCTACACTTTTCGAAAAGTGGATAAAAGACTTCCGTTGGCTTCAAGTCCGCTATGAAAAGTCTGTGGGATGGAATTTTCAGGTAACTGTTTACCACGTCTAGCACGAGAGCTTCTGTTTAATCCTTCATATAATTGCCAGATACTGTCCGCTATGCAAGGGGCAGCTATATGTAAAATGTAACACCCCGTACACCATCGCAAACGGGCTTACACTGAGTAAACTAATATCGCTACTCATGAAGACCGGTATTGCTATAAACATGACTTAACGTTATGCATATAATAAGGTAAAGTATATGTCAAAAGCATCAGTGCAGTAACATATAGCACTTGTGAGATATTTTCTTTTGATAACAGGATTTTTTTGAGACATATATTCCTCAAGCTTGCATATATATATATTTTTGCTTGTTAGTTTGATTAGTGCTGATTTCAAATGCAATAAATTTGTTTGTTTTACACTTGTAGTAACGGTGCTCATAATTGGTGGGTGCGACAAAATTTTGGCTGATGCGCCTACATTTTTAAAGTTAGGAGCACCGATGCTACCAAGCAAAAGGGTTAATTTCGAGCACTGTAAATAGTTGAAGACAGAATTATTAGCCCCCTTTGAATTTTTTTTCTTTTTTTTCAAATATTTTACAAATGATGTTTTACAGAGCAAGAAAATTTTCACAGCATGTATGATAATATTTTTTCTTCTCGAGTAAGTCTTGTTTGTTTTTTTCGGCTAGAATAAAAGAGTTTTACAATTTTTAAACACCATTTTAGGTACAAAATTTGCCCCTTTAAGCTATATTTTTTTCTCGATAAGCTACAAAACAAATCATCGTTATACAATAACTGGCCTAATTACCCTATTATCCTAGTTAACCTAATCAACCTAGTTAAGCCTTTAAATGTAACTTTAATCTGTATAGAAGTGTCTTGAAAAATATCTAGTCAAATCATTTACTGTCCTCATGGCAACGATAAAATAAATCAGTTATTAGAAATTAGTTATTAAAACTATTTTGTTTAGAAATGTGTTAAAAAAATCTTCTCTGTTAAACAGAAATTGAGCAAAAAATGAACAAGCTGTCTAATAATTCAAGGGGGCTAATAATTCTGACTTCAAGTGTATGTATGTATGTATGTATGTATGTATGTATGTATGTATGTATGTATGTATGTATATATATATATATATATATATATATATATATATATATATATATATATATATATATATATATATATATATATTATATATATAATTTTCACAAAATTTAATGATAATTTTTTTTATAGATGTACATATTTAATAATTGGCGATGGGCCATTGAATAATGTACACTTGATCATAAATAATGCACACCTGAGGTTATGATGTGGCCATCACACAAATCAAGTTTTCAGCCTGGAACTGCTTTGGCTGTGTGTGTTTGAAAACAATCCCATGTCTTAGAATGTTCATCAACCAATCAGAACCATGTAGTGTGTAAATGTTTACACAATACTCTGTGACGAAATACGTTTTTTAATTCAACAACAATAAATAAATAAATACATTTAACAATCTTCTGTGAAAATGGAGCAATCCTTATGACTCAACTTGCACTACACTGATTTTCATCCAAATCTACAATTGTTTAACAGAGCAAGGAAAATTTCACAGTATTTCCTATAACAATTTTTCTTCATGAGAAAGTCTAATTTGTTTTATTTTGGCTGGAATAAAAGCCGTTTTTAAAGTTTAAAAGCCATTTTAAGGTCAATAATAATAATAATTAGCCCCCTTAAGCAATATTTTTTCATGGTGGTCTGCAGAACAAACCATTGTTATACAATGATTTGCCTAATTGCCCCTAACTTGCCTAATGAACCTAGTTAAGCCTTTAAATTGCACTTTAAGCTGAATACTAAATCTAATAAATGTACTGTCATCATGGCAAAGATCAAATAAATTATTAAAACTATTAATTCAAGAAATGTGTTAAAATTTTTTTTCTTTCTGTTAAATAGAAATTGGTGGAAAATATAGAGGCGGACTAATAATTCTGGTGGGATAGTAATTCTGACTTTATTTGTTGAGATGTTTCAAGAGGAAATTTGTACTTTGAACTATTTAAAGAACAGTGACAAACCCACTACTGTTTTTTTTACGCGTGTGTTCACTTGTGGTTCATTTGAATAAGTCTGAGCTCCACCTTCTAAATCTTGGTGCACATCACTGTGGTCGGAGAGATGCTGAAAAGATGAGCCTCTGTCTGCTTTCACATGAAGTCTGGTGCCATTGCAATGAAATATAAATGCACCATCATGGATCGAAGACATCAAAACAAACCAAAAACAGGACATGATTTTACAAGATTACTCCACAAAAAGGACAAAAATGCTCAAGTATACCCATTTTTATCAAATTATAGTCATTAGCTCCTTCCACACATAGACCTTTTCAGAAATTTACTGGTAAATAGATAATGTGTGAACAGGCCCTTTATAGAAATATCAGAAAAGAAATTTCGCCAATTTTCCAGGATGAGAAATTGTAAAATCACCAATAAATTGCTTTTATTTTAACCACAGATCACAACTATTAAATTCCTCAATATCACATCAACATAAAAAAGTATCAAAACAAAAAAGTAAATTCTCAAAAAAAAGTTATAATTAAACAGAAGTAAAATAAAAACAAATAATAAAATAATAATTAAAATAAATAAACTAGTGTTCATTGTGGTCCACCAAGCTTTTGCAAAAACGTACATGAAACCATGGGACTTATACCTAAAGAAAGGGGTCCAGATAAAAAGTATAATTTTTCTGCTGAAATGAATTAATGTTGTTGTTTTCTTCTTTTTTTCTGATGTTGTCAGTGGACGTGCCATGTTTTAAAATGCCAGCATTTATTTTAAAAAGAGGATGCTTTTAAAATAAGAGGATGTTATGGTGATCATTATTAAAAACAGCTAAACAGGTTTCAGAAACACCTAGTGCAGTGGTTCTCAAACTGTGGTACGTGTACCACTAGTGGTACACAGGCTTCCTTCTAGTGCAGGGGTCTCAAACTCAATTTACCTGGGGGCCGCAGGAGGCAAAGTCTGGGTGAGGCTGGGCCGCATAAGGGATTTCACACAAAAAAAGTCCTCAAATGTCATTATTAACAGTTTTAATTATTTCTTCTGAACATGAAGTGTCCTGAACATTATTGGAACATTGAGTGAAGATTATGAACAGTTCGTCTGAACATGGCATCTTTTGCCTACTCCTTGCTGCCAGAGACTTGACAGCGCTTCTTCTCACAAATCTGAACCACATTTGGCGTTAGAGCGGAAGCAGTTGAGACCCTCAGTATGGCTTGAAGATGATCATCATTAAGTCTAGACCTGTACTTTGACTTATTGAAGTTCAAGGTGGAAAATAACTTCTCACACAGAAAAAAGTGGGGGAACTCACTCAAAACTTCCATTCCCTCACCTAAAAAAAAGGCGTATATATGTATAAATAAAACACCCCCACCCCACTCCAGTCACATCAGTCTGTACCAGTCTGTATCTACCTATAATATATATAAGATGCAGGCTGTAGCTAGGTAGGTGGCAGGCTGCAGATAGGTAGCTAAGTGGCAGGCAGGGGCGGGAACAGCTTACCTTGGTTCTGGCCAGCGCGAGTTCCCTTGTAACACTTCCCGCCCGTCACAGCGTCTAACAAAGGGGCGGGGTGCGTGGTGACGTCACCGGCATCCCCGCCCCTTTGTTTACACGGCGGGCGGGGAATGCCAGTGACCGCTGTGTACGGATAGAATCAGCGGAGCGGGGAGCGCTCTCTCTCTCCGCTCCACTGATTCTGTCAGTGTACAGCGGTCGGCGCGGGCCACAAAATATTGCACTGAGGGCCGCAAATGGCCCGCGGGCCGCGAGTTTAAGACCCCTGTTCTAGTGGTACACGGAGGAATGAAATATGCTTAGTACATGCTATACACATTTCAAAATTTATCAAAAATGATGTATATAATCTGCCATATATGACATATAGCCTATATATCCGAGGTAATCTGCAACGTTTTTTAACTTTGCAGAGTTGTAGCTGCTTTACTGGGCCTACTATGCTACTGTATTTCAATACTGCTAATTTTGGTGGTACTTGGAGAGACAGTTTTTTTTTCTGAGGTGGTACTTGATGAAAAAAATTTGAGAACCACTGACCTAGTATATCCTCATTTGTGTGTGTGATAGAGGCACTTCTTGGCATTCCTATACACACTTTATAAGCTATTCAATAATTGTTAACTGATTAAAACACCCTGACATAGCTGGTGCTCTCAGCCCTGCATTCAGCATTGTTTTGGATGTGTGGTCATTTCTGTTGCAAGTCGAGCTACAAATGTGGATACTTCCAATAATAGTGCAAAGTGCCTGCTTTTTCTTAGATATGTTGTGTTTGGTTTATTTAAGTGAATTAGTTTGCTTTGAGTATCTCATTAAAACAATTTGATAAAATCATTCATCACTTAAAAAAAAAAGTTTTCTTATTTTCTTAAAATAAGAAAACAGTAATATTGTGAAATGTTTTTGATGATATGTCATTTAATATTTTAATCTTTCCAATTTTCAGAGTTACATGATCCCTTAGAAATCAGTCTGATATGCTGATTTGCTCTCTGCTTAAAAATATTTATTTTATCATAAAGCAAAGCAGCTGCTAAATTTATGTAAAGTATTGTGCATTTTTGTTTGTTCAGAATTTGTTGGCGAAAAAAGAAATCATTTGTAACAGTGCAAAAGTTGGTACTGTAACTTGTAATCAATTTAATGCATTCCCATTAAAATATTAATTTCTCAAAGTTGAATTGTAGCTCAGCTGCTGTATAGTAGGATGTTTTTGACACCTTTAATGACAAGCTCTTTATTTTCTCCTACAGTGCGTCAGGACCCCATTCTGGGATCCAGTGAGATGTTCAACAGCTTTTTGAGGAAAGCTCAACAGGTAGAACTTCTGTATTCTTTATACTTGTACAAATTAATGTCAATAATTGCAAACATAGTACTTTATCAGGTCTGTTTGTGTGTGTAATTTTTTACAGAATGTCCTATAATGTTTTTCTTCTGGAGAAATCCTCTTTCTTTTAGTTTGGCTGGATTATGAGCAGTTTAAAAAAAACAATTAAACCAGTTTTTAAGCTCATTATTGTTATAGACCATTTCAATATGGTCATGTCATTGGCCCATGAATATTTCCTGCTTTCATAACTATAACAAGAGGCAATTCAGTCATACAGCTATAATAACATTATTTATCAATATGTGGATTTTGGATCTTTGGAAGCTGTAGAAATTAAAATTTGTAAAACAGGAAATATGTTGGGAACAGTTTTTGTTTACATTCCTCAAAATGATCTTTACCCCTTAAGATATTGTTTTACTATTAGCTACAGAACAAACCACTGTTGTCCAGTAACTTGTCTACGCAACCAATCTTACCTGTTCAATCTGACTAACCAAGCCTTTAAATTGTACTTTAAGCTGAACACTTTCATCTTGCAAAACAGCTTGTAAAATATTATTCACTATTATCATGGCAAAGGCAAATAAATTAGTTATTAGAAATGAGTTACTAAAACATTTTTTTTTTAAATCTCAGTTAAACAGCACTTCAAATTTCTAAATATAAAAGTGACATAGTTGGCAGTCAGTCAAAGACCTGTTAGAGCAGTGGTCCCCAACCTTTTTATCATCTAACATATTAACAATAATACAACCGTATAGCCGAACTAAATGTATGCATTGGCATGTTACAGCCCTAATGAGTATGATTATGTGAAACTCCATATAGATACATATTGCAATGATTTCGGGTACTTACTTAGCGATGCACGCACACATAACATTATATGCACAATCCTTAAATGCTCTGCTGATTTGGACTCTATAATACCTGTTTTATAACTTTAAACTATCAACAACATCCACTGAGCTATATTCTAGCGATTGTTCTTCCCGCTCCGTGATGGATTTTGATGCGGGGGGAATATTTTCTACAGAAATAATTTATGATTTCTTATGTGGCCCGGTACCAATTGTTCCACGGACTGGTACCGATCCGCGGCCCGGTGGTTGGGGACCACTGTGTTAGAGGACATGCACTCTTTTAAAAGGTCGTAATACTAATATTTAGGGATGCACCGATACCAGTTTTTGGAACTGATCCCATCTCGATACCAACATTTTGAGTATCGGCCGATACAGATCCGATCCCGATACTTTGCTGTTTTTTTAAATTATTATTAATATAATACAATTTCTGTTGACTCAAATAATATCTCTTCTTTAGTAAAAATGACACACCTATAGACCTACTGTATATGACAGAGTGCACAATCTAACTAAGCATGATGCTTGCTATTAACTAGGCTACATTATTTGAGCATTCATTATGACATTGTAGGGCTGGACAATATAGCAAAAATTTATATAACAATATATTTCTTAATTTTGTTTGATACGATTTAATTCTGATATAGATATGGACAATATTAAAAACAGAGGAAAAAAAAAACTGCCAAGAACGCACACAATGGATGTCTGTACCCACAAATGTCTGCAAACTGAATATGCAAAGTCTGTAATACCTCCAGGCTCTTATAACTTTTTTTTTTTTTTTATATAAAAACAGTACAAATAATGAATGTTCACTTTTTATTTGTATTAGCCTTTACAAACAAGAAATGTGAAAACTATCAAATAAATAAAACTCTCAGACTCAGCTTATTTATTTATACAAATAATAAATAGACACAGTTCATAGTTCAACGTGAACAGAAACTTTTATCAGCATTATTTTTTTGTGTATGCTGAATATTTAACAATCAAAATAATATCAAAATCTTACAATTATGACATCCACAAAAAACATAGAAAAAGAATATTAATTATAATAATAAAAAAATCAAAAAGAGTGTACACTACATTAATTAAGGGTTCTATCTGACTATTTATATTTGTGTATGTAATTACCTAATTAAATTAGAATTAAATTTAACATAAAATAGTTCTTTTATATTTTATGTAGTCTATTCGTGTAGACTAATATTTTATATTATTTTACCATTTCATCAGCTTTGCAATAACCAGATTCCTGATAAATGTGTTTGTGAATTTTATTTTGTAAGTTTATGCGAGTGCTATATGCCAGCATGCAGCGAGTTTATGTGTATGTGACTGTTATTTTGGGTGTTTATGCGAGGAGCGAGTTATGTACATTGATATGATCTGTTGTGGTCCAGCTTATGTATCCTATTTAATATCAAGATATTCTTTGAAATATTTAATAAGCTACCCTAATCATTGGTAAAATAACCAACAATTTAATAAAGCCTAATATTTTCCTGCATTGTTGGAAGCAGACTAAACATAAAAGCATGTCTGAAAAAATGTTTTGTCTAAAAAAATTATCTTTTTCAAACAAATTTGGCTTCATGGCTTTTGTTGGCTTATAAATTACACAGAATATAGTGCAAGATCAGAATTGGATTGGTACCAGATGGCCGATACCAGATCCAGCAAAAATATGCAGTATCGAACTGATATCGGATCCAAGTAGGGATCGGTGCATCTTGACCAAGTTAAATAAAATTAATATCTGGACCTGAATCAGTGTGTTTTGACAAGTCTTGATTTGTTTTCTTTTTAGATACAATAATTGTACATATTTTGCAGGAGACTTTGAGCTTTTTAACATTGCAGATTACTTATACATTCATTAGCAGAAATGCACTGTAGGAAAATGTATACTTTACAAAGTATGTGAACTCTTTAACATTCGGACCCTGTTTTCCTCCACCTCTCATATTAATGATATGAATTCAAAACAGATTTAGCATTTCCAATTAAATATTTGTGGGCCTCATTTATCCCATTTCCTCAATAAAGTAGGATCTTAGTGTTGAATGCAGGAGTAGTTCATTACCCGCTCATTCACCTTTTTACATTCCAGTACCATTCTGTACTTCATCTTTTGGCCTGAACTGCATTCATTCTTTAGGATTTTGCTCCTCCAGCCCACACAGATATCAGTAATTTTGCAGTCAGATGGTGTTCGTGCACCGGCTGCCCATCAGAGAGCAGTCTCTGCAGGAGCAGAATAGGAGATTAAACCTGGCCTCGCGTTTTCATTTTGCAATCTCTATAAAGATCAGCCTCTGCTCTGAGACCTGCGCCTCAGTGGGAGATGAATCTAGCAGGAGGGGGGGGAAAGATGAATCTGCAAAATATGTGATAGAACAGTGACGCTACTTGTTATCTATTAAAGATGTTTGCTGTAGTCAGCTTTGATACTACTAAATCACCAGTGGTGACTGAAAGACTGAAAATACTCAAACTCCTGAGTAAAGTATAGTTCCTCAAGTACAATATTATAAATATTATTTAAGTAAAATTAAACTGGAGTGCCTAATACTTGTACTGTATTAATTGTAAAAAAAAATACTTCAGTAAAACAAACTAGTTGATTAAATATTTCATATTTATTTAGCAAGAAAACATTTTGTGATTACTAATAATTAATGTTAATTCACATATTCTCAACATTTGCTCTGAGCAGGGGCACGCTTCATAAACACAGACAAAACTCATAGCTGATCTATCATAGTATGATGCATCGTTTGGGAAATGAACAATGTAGTGACGAGTGTTTCCCAAAACCATAGTTTCTCTGTCGCAGATCCATTATTTGAACCACATTAGTTATAACGTAAAACTTCCATAATGACGCTCTAAACTGGGTGGAGTAACAACTTGAAAATTACCATAATTTCGTCTGTATAGAATTAAATTGTTTTACACTCACACATTTAAAAAAATCCAATATTAGTTTTGGTAAAAACATGCACATGTTTTTTTTTTTATTAGCTGAAATATATGTAAATGGCACATATAAGGCCTATGTTTGCTTTACAAATATAATTAAGAATATGCCATAATCTATTCTTAAAACATGAAAACCATTTAGCTTTTTTGTTAAAAAGTCTACTAGGCTTCAGACACATTTCTTAATAAATAACCTATTGTTAATTAAAACTATTAATATATTCTATTAACATATATATTTTGTTTTCTCAAGGTTCAGAGATGTAACGTAAATCCCGCTTTTAAATAATAGGTCGCCTATAGCTTTCATAATGAGCCATGGCTGCTTTCAAAATAAATGTAAATGTTTTTAAAGTGCACTATGAAGGGAACGCATTTGTCAATATGAAGATCGCTAAAACTGAATTGTAAAAATACTTTCAAAGCAAATTACACCTATAGTGATGACTTTAATGTTGTTTTTTAAATCATTCCGAGTTTAAAAAGGGGGGATAACTGGGAATAGAACACAACAAAAAACTATGTTTCTAACTACAGCTCTAGCTCAAGTGTTAAAGTTTGCAAATGTTCCTGTAGCGATTGATTTGGAATATGGCGAATCAGCTAACTATGTTTTTAATAATGGAACTTGAGACCTTTTGTTGGCTAACAATGGTTTTGGGAAAAGCACACCAGATTATTTGAATCAGTGAGTTGCATACTGGAGGCTCAGTTTCCACAGGGCCACAGAGTAACAGTAACAGGATAAAAACACTGATAATGAAGGAATAAAAGCAAAAAAAGAAGTAAATAGAGAATAGAAATATACAAATGTGTACAATATTGTATAGATGGCCAAAATGTGTAAAACTTTTAATGTAAACTAACTATGTTGTTTAAGGTGCAGTATGTAAGTTTGACACCCATTGGTTAAACTAGGTATTGCACCCTTGGTTCAAAACACACCCAAGAGCAAGTTGCTAGATTGACGACATCAACAAATGCTGATTTAAATCGTGTTCTAAATAAAAGCAACAGCACGCGATAGAAGGAATATTTTCCATATTAAAATGAGTTTTTGTCTTAACCAACACCTGAAACAACAGAAACTGACAATGACCGCCTCAGGTAATCCTCATGCGCATTATTCAGTGTTAAATGCTAATAATGTGAGTTTGAATGCCCTTTTACATGACATTTACTGCCATACTACTGAAAGCAGCAGCAGATAGTTCACCTCAGATCTTGAAAATAAAATAAACTGTTTCAAATTGAATTTTAAAACTGTAAAATAATGAAAATCAACACATCAGTGATTCAGCATCTACATTTAATAATGTTAAAGAGGTTTAATGTGTATTAATTAGATTATAAACCTTATCATTTTGTTGGAGTGGAGTTTCTGTCATGTTTTGTCTGATGCAAACAGCCAAATTGTTAAAACATGGTGTTTCAATGTAACCTGCTCACCCAGTGTTTATGTTTGTAATATTTCTGTTATTTGCTAATTAATAACCACCTCATGTGGAACTCTGAATCTGCCTCTCATTTTGGAGGCTGTTACTGTCCGACTCCAACAGAGGTCGCATTTTCAGTCATGGACACATGCTTTGAGAGCCTTCATGACTGAATGAATGACACCAAGGCAACACGGGGTGCTGAACTATAATTGGCTAAAGTGGCATTGGGTGGGTTAAATGGACCAAAACAAAAATGGACGTTCCAGGATGTAACACATTTTCAAAGCAGAATATCTGACTTCTGCATTGTTTTTCAGATAAAAAAAAGAATGTTCGCTTAGCATGTTTCTTAAAGATCTGCAAACATATTATGGTATTTTTATGCTTTAGAAGAATCAAAAACTTACATACAGCACCTTTAAATAAAGAAGTGTATGAGTGTATAAATAGTGATGTTGTTCCATTGACTATGCAGCGCTCTCATGACTTGTAAGCTGAAATTCAGAGGAAATGAAACTGCTCTGACTCTGTGACTTTCATGTTTCGTGAGTGTGGAAGGGTGTGATTATCGTCAGCGGTATTGCAGGCTCATCAGAATAACTCTGAGATCAGCTGAATCTGGCAGGAAGCTTCAGAAGTTGAGCTGGAGTTCAGCACAAAGGTGTTTTAAAGAGCAACTGTGTTTGTCTGCACCACAGGAGACCCAGCAGATCCCCACTGAAGAGGTGCAGCTGGAGATCTACCTGTCCAACGGCCAGAAGGTCAAAGTCAACATCCTCACATCTGACCAGACCGAGGACGTTCTGGAGGTCAGAATATGCTGCTTTGAGGCACTCGCATCTGATTCATGTTATCAAAGCTCTTAATCACTGCCAGGTTACTTTAGGTCATTTTGAATAGTATTATTCCCAGACATTTATTTTGGGCTTACCTGAATATCCTATACTTCGGTCTGAAAACACACTCATGTTCAGTCACATTTGCGTACAGACAAAATAATATGTTATGATCAGAAATACATGAAATATGTACACTTTTCTTTGATTTTTAAATGTGATTTGTCATTTGATTTTGTTACGAATTTTAACCTTAACAGATATACAGCTCTTTATTGTGCTATAATAAGAACAGTTTATATATATATATGGTGGTGCCACAGCACCCGCGAGACCTATATGAGACGGGCCGAGAGAAAAGGAGATGGGAAAAAAGGAGGAAAGGCAGAGTAGACCGAGAAAGGGGAGAGAGGAAAAAGAAAGAAAAAAAATTGGGGTTCGGTTCTCCAGACACGCTGCCACTTGGTCCTCCACCAGCTGAGAGATGCGACGACGTGCTGGGAGCCCTGTGGAGGAATCTATCCACCCTTCCGTCTTCTGGCGTCCGGCGGCGGTTCTCCTGGCTGGCTGGCGGCATCTCTGGTCTCCTGCTCCGCTCCTGCTTCGGTGGATGGATGCAGGCTCTGGCATCATGGCGGATCGCGGCGACTCCCCCGGGTTCTGTGGGATGGCTCCCTTCAGCACTTTCCCCTCCGGTGGTGAGCCCCGCGTCCCCTGCTCCTCCCCATGCTGGGAGACGGCAGCAGGCAGATCCTTTCCTCGCCAGCCTCAGGGCGCCCCGGCACTCTTGGCAGACGAACGGGTTTCTCCCCCACTGGGGTTAACTCCTGAACACTGGCCCCCCTCTCAGCGGCAAGGGCAACTGAACAACATGTCCCTCCTTCTCCCGGGTTTCGGCACCACTGTAATGAAGTTTACGGCCCTCTGGCCGCCGGGAAGAAGGAGGCGGAAAACCGACGCAGTTTTAAAATGATTTATTAATAACAGGGACGGCAGCTCCTCACGGAGACTGCCGTCAAACTGAAAGCAAAAGGTAAACAATATGCCCGGGCCCGGTCCTCTCTCGGCTTCCTCTGCCATCAGTCCTCCTTTTGTGGTCCAGAGCTCCTTCCGTGGGATTCGAGGCAGGTGCGCACCGCAGGTGTATCCACTTACACGGTGGCCTCCCTCCGTTCGCACGGCTCTCGGCCACGCCCCCTCGCCACATATATATATATATATATAAACCTTTTTTGTTATTAATCGTACTAGTATGAGCTTTCTGTCTTGTTCTTTTTTGGCTGATTATTTTTGTAGATCTGATTGTTATTTAGCATAACATATATATAAAAGCCTGAGTCTTTACGGCTTTAGTGATCATAGCTTAAGCTTTCCTATGTGCACCACACAGAGTCATAGGCGATCCAAGCTCTCATTAAAATGCACCCTGCACCCATATGCAGCACACACTGCTTTCTGCTGTGCTATTCAGTGACAGCATCGGCCCTAAGCGCACTTTAGCACCTGACATTTGTGAGAGATAAAAAGAAAAAACAGCGTAAATGCAGTAAAGAGTAACCTGATCATGGGATCTGCTTGGGTGTAATGTTTAACACTTGAGCCCACAAGATTCTGGAAAAGAAAACACTTTTATTTATATATATATATATATATATATATATATATATATATATATATATATATATATATATATATATATATATATATATATATATATATATATATAAATAAAAGTGTTGTATATATATATGTATATATATATATATATATATATATATATATATATATATATATATATTAGCACAAGAGGAGATCTTTTGTTTAAAAACATAGTTTTTTATTATAAAATCGTTTTTATTATAAAGTGTAATATGAAATCTTGAATAGTAAATAACAAAAGAATACATCAGGTAAAAATTGTACTTGGGGTCAATACAAGTTCACAGTAGGGAAAGGTCTAATGCTTGTGTTTTTTTTTTTAAGTAATTAAAGCAAATAAATACATAATAAATATATATTAGTGCTGTCAATCGATTAAAAAAATCAACTAATTAATCACACTTTTTTTTTGAAAATTAATCACGATTAATCGCATTTAAAAGACTGAAACTTGTAATTTTGGCTATTCAAATGTAAAATAATGTAAATGCAAGACAAAAACTATTTAAATTTAAAATATGATTGTTTATTAGAATTTTTGTTTAATTTGTAACACAGATTTCCTTAAACAACATACCCAAAATAAACCATCGAGATCCTGGCTTGACAGCTATATTTATTACAGAAATAAAAGCACAGGCATGTAGTGCCATTTGAATTTCAAAACAATCAATACCAATAAAGAAAAAAATTATTTCCAAGTTAGATTCTAAGTGGACTGCAAAAAAATGCCAAAATACAGGCATTGCAAATATCGAAAATGGAAAATTATAATAACAATAAAGAATTGAATACAAACAATTGTAGTCATTGTAAAATTGTTTTGCTGTGAGTTGAGAACATTAATTATGAAGTAGAAACAATTTGTAACTTTTTGATTTAGTGGCTACAGACAACAACGTTTAGGCAGGTTTGTTTCTGAGAACCGCACGCACAAATTCAGACCAGAGCCGTGCACAGAGGGTGGCCTGGTGGCTAGAGCCACTGCCCCTCTGCCCTTATTGGCTGAGGTGCCCTTCACTTTGCGATCGCGTTGAGCACCTGCCCCTATAAGAGTCTGTGCTTTGTGCATGGGCCTGACACAGACACACACACACACACACACACACACACACACAAAATGTGCGCAGGTCAGGACAGGGCAGCCGGAACGGCTCCCTTCTGATTCAACATGCATAATCGCGTTCATCAAATTTGCTTATACTTAACGTTGTAAAGTATGGTTGTATTTCACAAGGATTCTGACACAACAACGCGAAACATACGCTTTCGTTGCGTTTAAGGAGGAAACACGTCAAACTTAATAACACATTTGAGGGCTTATGCGGAAAGGCTGAGGAATGCTCTGTCTTTGACAGCTCGCAACTTCATCTTGCACTTACATGGACACCAATACTTCGATTTTAATATGATTAAGATAACACTCTTATTAAGAGTCAACCGTGTAAGCAGAGTTTTTGATTACCCTTAAGGACCACCGAGTCACGAAATGCGGAGGTTTTTCTTTCCGTTCGCCATGCGGTATCAAACTCCATTAAAACAGAAGTCATAAGTTGAAAATGACACACCTGAAATTGCATGAAACTCTGGAGAGTCTGGTGATGCGGCATTAATTGTTTTATACTAAAACTTGCCTTCAAAAAGTGCTTCCTTGGTCTTATCCATATTTCTTTGCATCTTAAACACAGGTCGAGCACAACAGGAAGTGAAAAAAAACGGCAAATGCGTTAATTGCATAAATTTTTTCAATGCGTTAAATATTTAAAATTAATCGCATGCTTTATTGCACTAATTTTGACAGGTCTAATACATATATATATATATACCTTCAGAAATGCTTCTCATAGATTTAACAAGGTACTGGAAATATTCCTCAGAGATTTTGGTCGATATTGACATTATAACATCAAGCAGTTGCTGCAGATTTGTCAACTGAACATTCATGATTCGAATCTCTTGTTTCGCCACATTCCTAAGGAGCTCTATTGGATTGAGATCTTGTAATTGTGGAGGCCCTTTGAGTGCATGAACTCATTGTCTTGTTCAAAAAACCAGTATGAGATGATTTGCGCGTTATCCTGCTGAAGGTAGCCATCAGAAGATGGGTACACTGTGGTCATAAAGGGATGGACATGGTCAGCAACAATACTCAGGTAGGCTGTGGGGTTAACACAATGCTCAATTGGTACTAATGGACCCAAAGTGTGCCTAGAAAATATCCCCCACACCATTACACTGCCAGCCTGAACCGTTAATACAAGGCTGGATGGATCCATGCTTCAACGTTGTTAATGCCAAATTCTGACCCTACTATCGGAATGTCACAGCAGAAATCGAGACTCATCAGACCAGTCAACGTTTTTCCAATCTTCTATTGTCCTATTTTGGTGAACCTGTGAGAATTGTAGCATAAGTTTCCTGTTGTTAGCTGACAGGAGTGGCACCTGGTGTGCTCTTCTGCTGCTGTAGCCCAACTACCTCAAGGTTGGACGCATTGTACACTCAGAGATGCTCTTCTGCATACCTTGGTTGCAACGAGTGGTAATTTGAATTACTGTTGATTTTCTATCAGCTCCAACCCATCTAGCCATTCTCCTCTGACCTCTGGCATCAACAAGGCATTTGTCCCCACAGAACTGCCGTTCACTGGATATTTTCTCTTTTTTTCAGACCATTCTCTGTTAACCCTAGAGATGGTTGTGCGTGAAAATTCCACCTTACTCAGACCAGCCAATTTGACACCAACAACCATGCCACGTTCAAAGACACTTAAATCACATTTCTTCCCCTTTCTGATGCTGTTTGAACTGCAGCAGATTGTCTTCACCATGTCTACACTCTGTAATGCATTGAGTTGCTGCCATGTGATTGATTAAAAATGTGCGTTAACGAGCAGTTGGACAGGTGTACCTAATAAAGTGGTCTGTAAATTTTATTGGCTGAAAACAGACTCTGTGACTGCATTAGTTACGTAAGACACAAAGGTCTGTTAAGAGCAATATTTTTAATAACATTGCCTAACATGGGTGCCAACAAATAGCACAACAGCTATTGATTTTTAATCGAGTTTGATCTTTTCTGATGCCTTTCCCTTCTCCCTCCCACTTCATTTACTGTCATCGAACTGTCCTATCAAATAAAGGCAAAAGTAAATCTTAAAAATAGGTAGCCTAACATTTTTCTCACCCTAAACAAAAATTAGCAGCACAAGTAAAAGTTTATTTTGACAAAAAGAATATAAAATGTTTTAATCAAGTCTGTGTTGTGTGATTTGCCTGCATAATGAATGTGTACAGTAGCTGTTTAACTGCTTTACTGTCATCCATTGTTGGGTAATAAAAAGAGCAGTGTGGATTGATAGTGTTTTAATGTTGTCATCAGGCGGTGGCCTCAAAGCTTGACCTTCCCGACGAGCTGGTGGGATATTTCAGCCTGTTCCTGGTTCAGGAGAGGGCTGACGGCAGCTGCACGTGTGAGTATATGATCAGATGTCTTTCATTTGTTAGGCTTTTATTTAATATTTCTTAGGAATCTGCTGTTTGTAGATATGGCCTGCTGGCTTCATCTGGAAAGTGGCTTGGCTGTCAGTAAATGGCATCTGAAAGTCAACACTCTTCCTCCGGACTGGCTGTAAATGCAGTCCTGGCAGCTCAAAAGAGAAGTGTGTGTTCTGTTGAGATGCTGCCCACACGTCTCAAAGCTAAACTGAGGTCAAGTAGACGAAACATTGGTCAAGCTGTTGTTGGCTTGCGTGCAAGCTCTGCTGTAGGCCTGTGATGCTTGTTAAGCAAACATTGTTGTTATTTTTAGTCATATTTAGGGATGGAGATTTGAAATAGCCAGGCCTTAAAGATTAATTTTTGGTATGCATCTTGTTGCTTACTCTTTTAGCCCGAAACATCAATGATACCTTAAATCATGCAGGTTACTTTTACTATAATATTTTTTTACTAATTTACTATTTACTAATATATTTTGCAAAGCCTTTTGATATAGGCCATTTTGAGGGATGTAAACAAAAACAATGCTCCTATATATGGTAATATGGTATTAATTGTTTACTGAGCAACATTAAATAACATTTTAAAATAGGAGTTTTCATATGATTTTCTAAACTAGTGGTTTTGACATGAATGAATGAATGCATAATAATCGTGATAACTGTGAAACTGTGATTATTCCTCAGACTATTATTGTACAAACCAAAATCTATAATTGTTGCATCCCTATGCCTATTTATATCCCTATTTTCATTCTATGTTAGCTTTAATGTTTTACTGAAAAAGTCAACCACTGTATTTATTGAAGTCAGAATTATTAGCCCCCTGTTTATTTTTTTCCCCAATTTCTGTTTAACTGAGAGATTTCTTTAACACATTTCTAAATATAATAGTTTTAATAACTAATTTCTAATAACTGGTTTATTTTATATTTGCTATGATGACAGTAAATAATTTTTGACACTTCTACTTAAAATGACATTAAAGGTTTAACTAGGTTAATTAGGTTAACTAGGCAGGTTAGGGTAATTAGGCAAGCTTAAAGGGGCTAATAATTTTGACCTTAAAGTGGTGTTAATAAAATTAAAAGCTGCTTTGATTCTAGCTGAAAATTAAACAATTAAGACTTTCTCCAGAAGAAAAAATATTATCAGACTTACTATGAAAATTTCCTTACTCTGCTAAACATCATTTGGTAAATATTTAAAGAAGACAAAAAATTTAAAGGAGGGCTGTTTACCTTGGATGACCTGAGCGTAATTAAATAAACAGAATATCTTTATTTTTAGGTGTGCTATCTTTGTAAAGAACAAGTCATTTAGAAAAATAATGACAGTGATGTTTACACAGGAAAGCCGTTCATACTCACTTCATAAAATGTAAAGAATACTAAAGATGCTACCAGCAAAAAAGAAATCAATATTTTGTCTCTAAGCAATATGATGCCTCTATCAGGTTTTGAAATAAAGTAATACATAACGTACTCTGGGAGAGAAGAAGAGCACTGCAATATGGTTCCCTAGAGGTTGAAAAACAACACACAATCTGAACAATGCTTCACTAGAAATAGATGTGGTTTTCCTCCTTAGTCTATTATAAACAATGTTTGTTGAGATTTTGCTGGCAGGAGTAAATGCAGCAGCAGCGGTATTCAAATTGGTTGTCACTGTATTGATTGATTGCAAATGGCCTGAAATGCTCTACACAGAAAAAATATGACTTGCTCTATCTGAAATGAAAGCGATTAAACTCTCACTGTGAGGAGTTGCGCTTGCTCCACATCATATTTAACAATATTCTGGCTTCAAGCGTCTTTTCCGAATGACCAGGACTGTGTGAATCATTTTTCTATGAAAACCCCCTAGAGACAAAATTATCGAGTTTCCTGAGTCCAGATTCTTTCATTTCTTTTGCAATGCATGTCATTTTAGTTTAGTGCGTAGAGCAAGTGGATTTGTAAAGAATACCTTTTTCCACAATTGTCCCGTTTCCAATTCTGCCTTCATTACATTACAGAGCTGAAAATCTTTCAAAGGATGAATCCCTAGGAGAGCCGTAGACTTATTGGAAGTGGACTTGTTATTTTTTCTTTCTTGTTCTCGAAACTGGGGGGCATTTGTGATTTTATGCAGATGTCTGGCAATGGCTCTCCTTGTCTGGATAAAATGCAGTCGTTTTGTTTATAGAACTTTCCGTGTCTCCATTTTATACGAGCTGTCATTGTTTGACTGCGTTTAGCGGAGAATCATCACGCATCCTTGAGGAATGACAAGCTGTGCACAACTCCCACTCTGTTGCCAGATCCTCCTCTAAAAAAAGGCTTAATCTTGTCAGATATGATGGAATACAGACCCCTGTACAATCCTTCCCAAATATGATTTGGCATACTGCCCGATCTTGGCAGAAATATTCACTGGTGAAAGAAATAATAATAATAAAAAATTGTGGAAAATAAATGTCTGCAAACAGAACCTGATTGTCGACTAACTGATGGTGAAGCTAAGATAAACAATTCAGTGCCAAAAACATGTCTGGACTTAAAACTGAAATAAATACAAATTACAGTGTTATATTTATATATTTGTGATGTATTATTGCACAACCAATCATGACATTTATGTCGAACAGAGGACAGCTAGCCAAGTGCTATGCAGGTAAACCCCACTCCTTTGACCTCTAAAGGTGCTCTAGCTACAGACGCTAGAGGCCATGGTCTTTAGCCTTCTGTTAGAGCAACAGACTCTCATGCAAAGAATCTCCAGTTTGATCCCAACTTAGCACAGGTTGGGTGCTGTAGGACTGGTGGGTTACACATGGGGGCTCGTCCGGGATGAGAATGAGGTTTAGGGGAGGTTTAGTCTAACAGAAGCTCGCTAGCGAAGTGCTATGCAGGTAAATCTCACTCGTCTGACCTCTAAAGGTGCTCTAGCGACACATGATCTTTAGCCTTCTTGTTAGAGCAACCGACTCCCATGCAAAGAATCGCCTGTTTGATCTGAGGCAAAGACTATAGAAAACACAAGATGTTTCACTTGTGTAGTTTTGAATGGGGAAAAATGTAACGGTCAACATGGCGAATGAAGCTCCACCTTCTAGTACAGGAGCCAAGCAGTCATCGCTAAAGACTGATGAGTCTCCGGGGGAGGGGCTTGGACCAGTCAATTCAATTCAATTCAATTCAGCTTTATTTGTATAGCGCTTTTACAATGTAGATTGTGTCAAAGCAGCTTCACATAAATGGTCATAGTAACTGGAACAGTGTGGTTCAGGTTTAAGTGTTTAAGTTCAGTTCAGTTCAGTTTAGCTCAGTTCAGTGTGATTTAATCATTACTGAGAGTTCAAACACTGAAGAGCAAATTCATCGATGCGTAGCTCTACCAATCCTGAACCATGCGAGCCAGTGGCGACAGCGGAGAGGGAAAAAAAACTTCACCTGATGGGAGTGAAGAAAAAAAACCTTGAGAGAACCAGACTCAGTTGGACACGACCATTTTAATTTCTCCGCTGGCCAAAAGTCTTGTGCAGAACTTCATTCGCCGTGGTTTATGCTGGAAGATGGCCTCAATGAAGACTCGTCTGTCCCTGGAGCGTCGCTGGAATCAGACTCATGTTCTCCACTCCCCACGAACATCAGCGCAGCAGCAGCTCAGGATATGGCCTGGTCCCGGATATGGAATCCTTGGGATCATCACGTCGCTGGTCTTGGATCCAATCAGTGACTCCGCCTAATCTGAGGACCTCGGGATGAGTATCCCCAGGTGAAAATAGAGAAAAGAGAATAATTAGCGTAGCTGCTGTTCATAGTGTATATAAGCAAGATGTAGAAGCCAGTGTGGAACCCGCTAGGTGATGCACTTAGTGTATGCTTTACTAAATAGATACGTCTTTAATCTAGTTTTGAACTGGGATAGTGTGTCTGAGCCTCGGACATTACCAGGAAGGCTATTCCAGAGTGTAGGAGCCATGAAAGAGAAGGCTCGACCTCCTTTACTTGATTTTGCTATTCTAGGTACTACCAGAAGCCCTGAATTTTGAGATCTTAAGGAGCGAGTTGGTTCGTAGCGAGACAGAAGGTTGGTTAGATAAACAGGAGCTAGATTATTTAGAGCTTTATAGGTGAGAAGTAATATTTTAAATTCAATACGAAATTTAACAGGCAGCCAGTGTAAGGAGGATAAAATTGGGGTTATATGATCATATTTTCTGGACCTGGTCAGAACTCTGGCTGCTGCATTTTGTACTAATTGAAGTTTGTTAATAGAGGATGCTGGGCAGCCAGCAAATAGAGCATTACAGTAATCCAGTCTCGAAGTCATAAAAGCATGGACTAGCTTTTCTGCATCTGAGATGGATAGCATATTTCGTAATTTAGCGATATTTCTCAGATGAAAGAAGGCAGTTTTTGTGACATGGGATATATGGTTTTTAAAAGTTAGATTGCTGTCAAATATGACACCCAAATCTTTTATAGTAGAGCTAAAGCTAACTTTGTATCCTTCTAATTGTAAATTGAGTTGCGAGATCTGCTGTGTGCAAGATTTAGGCCCAATAAGTAATAATTCTGTTTTGTCGGAGTTTAAGAGAAGAAAATTGTTGGTCATCCAGTCTTTGATGTCTTTGATACACTCAGTTAGTTTAGAAAGTTCAGACGTCTCGTCAGGTTTAGTTGAAATATATAATTGAGTATCATCTGCATAGCAGGGAAAGCTGATCCCATGTCTTCTAATAATGTCTCCCAGAGGTAGCATGTAAATTGTAAACAGTAAAGGGCCTAAAACTGATCCTTGAGGCACCCCATACTTTACTGGGCAGATTTGTGAAGGCTGTCCATTAAGATTTACAAACTGGTAGCGGTCAGTTAAGTATGACTTAAACCATTGTAGAGCCTGTCCCTGGACACCTGTAGACTTTAAACGATTTATGAGGATATTGTGGTCAATGGTATCAAATGCCGCACTAAGATCGAGTAAAACTAATAGCGAGACGCACCCTCGATCAGCAGCTAAGAGTAAATCGTTGGTTATTTTCACTAAGGCGGTTTCTGTACTGTGGTGAGCCCTGAAACCTGACTGAAACACTTCAAAAATATTGTTCGTCTGCAGATAAGAGCATAATTGAGTGGAAACAACTTTTTCTAGTATTTTAGACATAAATGGAAGATTTGAAATAGGCCTATAGTTAGCTAAGTTGTTGGTGTCTAGTTGCGGTTTCTTAATAATAGGCTTAATAACAGCTAGCTTGTAAGAGTTTGGAACATGGCCTATAGATAAAGAAGAGTTGATAATGTTAAGAAGAGGTTCTCCTATAGCAGGTAGCAGCTCTTTCAGTAATTTTGTTGGAATTGAGTCCAGCATACACGTAGCTGGTTTAGAGCTATTTATAATTTTTACTAACTCTTCATGTTCTATGATTTTGAAGCAGTGTAGGTTATTATTATGATTTAATGAAATATTTACAGGATTTGGAGTATAAGCCGGTGCAGAAAGTTTGGCATCTCCTATTTTCTGTCTAAAGCCTTCTATTTTATTACTGAAAAAATTCATGAAGTCATCACTACTAATTTGCGGTGGAGTAGTTTGTTCCAAGGATGACCGATTATTTGCTAATTTAGAGATGGTGTTAAATAAAAATCTAGGATTGTTCTGATTATTTTCTATCAGTTTGCGCAGGTGCTCGGTCCTGGCAGATTTTAGAGCCCTCCTATAGCTGGACATACTGTCTTTGTACGCAATTCTAAAGACCTCTAAATTAGTTTTTTTCCATTTACGTTCCAGGGCGCAGGTTGCTGTTTTGAGCGCACGAGTATGACTATTATACCATGGTATAGTTTTAATCTCTCTAGCCTTTTTTAATTTGATGGGTGCCACAGTATTTAGTGTGCTAGTAAAGATGGCATCCATACTGCTGGTTACTACATCAAGATCATTTGAGTTTGCGGGTGCATTACGAAATAGAGAGAGATCAGGTAAGTTATTTATAAATTCATCTTTAGTTGACGGAACAATAGTTCTACTAGGGCGGAGTATTGGAGCGGGTTTGCTGATTTCAGGTAAACATAGCTTATATAGTAAGAGGTAGTGATCTGTAATATCATCACTTTGTGGTATAATGTCTACGTCAATAACCTCGATTCCATAAGACAGAATTAGATCTAATGTATGCTTTAAGCGATGGGTTGGACCCACAACGTTTTGCTTTATCCCAAGTGAGTGTATTAAATCCATAAACGCGAGCCCTAATGTATCATTAGCGTCATCTATGTGGATGTTAAAGTCACCTACAATTAGCATTTTATCAGTTTTGACTAGTAAGTCAGAAATAAAATCAGCAAATTCTTTTAGAAATTTGACATAGGGTCCTGGGGGTCTATATATGGTGATTAAAGCGAGAGATAACATAGGTTTTTGTATAGTATCTGGAAGCTGAACATTAAGCGATAATACTTCAAAGGAGCTAAACATAAGTCCGTTTCTCTGTTTAATATTAAGGAAATCACTAAAGATTGATGCAACTCCACCACCACGACCAGTTTGACGAGCCTCATGTTTATATAAGAATCCTGGAGGAGTTGCTTCATTTAAGCTAATATAGTCATTTTGTTTCAGCCAGGTTTCAGTGAGACAGAGTGCATTAAGATTGTTTTCTGTTATTATTTCATTAATGATAAGTGCTTTAGGTGCAAGTGACCTGATGTTTAGGAGACCAAGTTTTACGAAATTTGTATTTTCACTTTCTACTGGTTTTTCTGGTTTGATTCTTACTAGATTTTTCCTGGAGCACACAGTACGTTTATTTCTTAATCTAATAATACGAGGAACAGACACAGTCTCTATAGGATTCGCCAGATATGCGTTACTGATGTTTAAGTGGGGTGAACAAGAGTCTAGGTGGCTATAGTGTGAATTTTGTGAATTTTTACCTGCTAGTCAGATGGTGCGAAGTAGTCTGGAGATGTTGTCCGACAGGAGTTCAGCTCCGGCTCGACTGAGTTTCCAGTCGTGAGTTTCTGCAGATTTTGTGTGATTAGAATGTTTAGAAATTAAAATAAAGTGACAGTTTTTGTTTAATTTTATTGGTGATTCCTAATATAAAATGTAATCATAAGCTTGCCAAGCAATTTTGGAGAATTTAATGTTTCCCCCATTCAGACAGAATGCCCGAGCATACTGCCCAAGAGGTGTTTCGAAGACGGCCGCCCAGTGAAATGGCTTGCCTTAAATGGACTTGGTCCCAGCTCAGTGCAAGTTGGGTGCAGTAGGACCAGTGGGTTACAGGTGGGGGCTTATCCGGGATGGGAGTGAAGTTTAGGGGGATGAGTCTAACCGAGGCCTGCTAGCAAAGTGCTATGCAGGTAAATCTTACTCTTCTGACCTCTAAAGGTGCTCTAGTGACAGACGCTAGAGGCCATGGTCTGTAGGCTCCTTGTTAGAGCAACCAACTTCCATGCAAAGAATCGCCTGTTTAATCCCAGCCAAAGACAATAGAATACACAAGATGTGTCACCTGTAATGAGGTTTAGAGGGGTGAGTGTAAAAGAGGCCATTTAGCGAAGCGGTATGCACTCCGCTGACCTCTAAAGGTGCTCCAGCAACAGACGCTAGAGGCTATGGTCTTTAGCGTCCTCGTTAAAGCAACTGACTCTTATACAAAGAATCACTGGTTCAACCCTAGCTCAAAGCGGGTTGGGTGCAGTAGGACTGGTGGGTTACACATAGGGGCTCGTCCGGGATGGGAGTAAGGTAAGGGGGTTGAGTTTAACGGAGGCCAGCTAGCAAAGTGCTATGCAGGCAAACCTCACTCCTCTGACCTCTAAAGATTATCTAGCAGCAGACGCTAGAGGCCAGGGTCTTTAGCCTCCTTGTTAGAGCAGCTGACTCCCATGCAAAGACACATTATGTAAATATAAACATTATAAACACTGTATTCATTTTAATAAATAATGAAAATCTCAAATCTTTGAATAGTATTAAAATATTGTTTATGTTTAGTGTAATATTATGTTATGTTTGTTCATGTTATTTTTATTTGACATGTAAAACATTGTTTTGACATCTTTACAGTGACAACCATACAAACCAAACAGAAACATGTTTTTTTAATGATGTACATATGTACATATGTCTTTAATAATACATTCCTATTACATAATACTATTCTTGTCTTAACATGCTGTCTAATGTCAGAGCACTGAAAGGGTAAGCCAAAGAGCAGAATGAAAAGTTGTGACGGCATGCATTATGCTATAGATCTAACTGTCGTCTCCTCCTCTTCTTCTTTTCACACTCCTGTTTTTAATGTTTCTAAAAGCTCAGTGCCCATTTCAGTTCGACCCTCTTCTCCCTGTTTCCCAACTCTAGAGAAAAACGTCTTTTTCTAACAGCTGCAGCATTTATTCCCTCGTTCCCTCCTTCTGTTATTTCTCCTCCTCTCTCTTGCACAAAGTGATAAACATGTTATTGTGCCCTCTATGGCTTTAGCCAGATGGATTCTCCCCCATCTCACTTTGTTTGTTGTCATTGCTATTACTCTCCAAATGTCCTTGAGTCTGAAGGCACTCATACATTTCATCTGGTCTCTTGTTGCTTCATCCAAACCTCTCCGACCTCCCGCTGTGTGTCCAGACGTGAGAAAACTGCAGGAGTTTGAGCTGCCCTACGTGTCCATCACCAGCCTGCACAGTTCAGACTATCGAATCATCCTACGAAAGAGGTACAGCACTTATTTTGGAAGTGGTTGTTGAACACTAAGCCCAATGCACTAGTATATATAAAAACAAAGTGTTTTTTGTGTAGCTCACAGATGAAGGCATAAAAGAACACTTGACTTTTTTTTTTTTGTAAAAGTCTCATTTTACAAGAACCCTAGAGTTAAACAGTTGAGTTTTACTATTTATGTGTCCATTCAGCCTAACTCGAGGTCTGGCAGGAGCACTTTTAGCTTAGCATAAAGCATTGAATCGGATTAAACTATCATTCTGGTGTAATCAATAAACTTTGCTGCCATACAATGGCTGCAGCAGGCACAATGATAATACACAGCACCTGAAAATAGTCCGTAGTAGGTAACAGCACTGTGTAATATCATTGCTTCTGTTGCAGCCATGGTACGGCAGCAAAATTCCTTACAGTAATGAGAATAGCCATATCGAGCTTGAAATATATCAACATTTTCTGTCAGTCTTACTACACTATGTAACTACAGAAGTATCAAGCTTTAAATAGGAAAAAAAAATATTGAATTAAATTGATCTGTTAAGCAAGATACTGGTGGTATTCAATAAGTTATGCTAAGCTAAAAGTGCTCCCACAAGACCCGTGAATTGGCTAAATGCATTAAAAATAGTAAAACTGAACTGTTTAACTCAAGGTGAATTGTAAAATAAGCCTATTTTCAAAATAATTGCGTGTTTCTTTATAAAATGTTTGTCATTTGTTTTTGTAGCTTTCACTTTTATAAAAAAAAACATGAATAGTTTGCCAAAAAATGTTGATCATTCTGTCAATACTCTGTATGACGTTACATTGAAACATTTACATTACATTGAAAATTATGGCTTTAAAAGGTGACGTGAAATGTTTTGAACTGCAGTTTTGTTCGACATGTGACTAAATTAAAACTGAACCGTGAAGACAGGGCTAGAGTACAGGACTAGAGTAGCCCCTCCCATTTGTTTTTACAACAGCCATTAGCATTTTGTTATCATGGCTCTGCCAGTGAGTGTGGTTGTGCCGAAATGCAATAGCATCTTGAATGGTGAAGATTCGAACAATTTTTTTGAGATATCCATAAGACTACCTAAGCCAGGGGTGTCCAAACTCCTGGTCCTGGAGGGACAGTGTTCTGCATATTTTAGTTCTAACCCCAATTAAACACATTTGAACCAGCTAATCAAGCTTTTTCAGGTATACTAGAAACTTCCAGGCAGGTGTGTTGAAGGAAGTTAGAGCTAAACTGTGCAGGACACCGGCCCTCCAGGACCGAGTTTGGACACCCCTGACCTAAGCCATTTGATAGCATTACTGTAAAAAACAAAGTACCACAACTAAAAAAAAAAAAAAAAAGGATTCATAAAAACATTTAAATTACTTCAAATTTTTATGATGGTCTTTTTTGGTGGACTCTAAAGATATTTTGAAGAATGTTGGAAACCAGTAAAGGTTCAGTAGGTGATCTGCCCAAACGCTAACCGGTTAGCATAATATCTTTCAAAAACTATCCCTTCCTTGTCGTCCAAAGCCATGCCTCCTAAAATCCTGAACATGCACATTATAGATGACAGAGACCCACTAGATCATGTCATCCTCCAGTTGGAAAACTTTATAGTACTTTATAATACTAATTAAAACTTTATAATCCTAATGAAAAACTGTATTATATCTAGCACCGTTTCAGTTTTGTAGTTAACAAGCAAAACTTGTCATAATGTGCAACATTTTATGCATGTAAGGATCGCTGGTCCCACTCTCTCAAAAATAAACCTATGTGAATATTAAACCACCTTCAACTTAGTAAAGCAGGCTAGGGGAATAGTGCTATTTACTGATGTTTTGTTGTTAAACTAATATAAATCTACATTATCGATGCTGTAAAAGGTCACTTGTGAAACTGAAAATAGTCATTAATATGTTCGCAGAAAGATTTCAGTGGCTGAACAACACTTCTGTGCATATAATCCATTCATAATACAACTAAATCTACATCAGCTTTGGGTGACTAGAATAGTTTTAAAACATACCATTACCTGTCTAAAAGAAATACTTCAGCCATGGTGTCATCTCTCCTTCAGCATACAAAGTTCTCCAATAGTGATTCAGGACTTTAAAGTTTTGATTTAGCATTTCTTTTTGCCGATGTCACTCTCTCATGTGCACGTGACTGTGGATCTGCGTGAACAGAGGTGCGCTGTTGTACAAATCTACATTTGTCGACAGACAGTTTGGGATTAGGGCACAACTAACGATTATTTTAATAATAGATTAATCTGATTTTTTTTCATTAATCGATGAATCAAAAAACAAGAAAAGCATTAATTTCCAACTCTTTATTCAAAAAAGCTCATCCTTGAGCTGTTATAATAATAATAATAATAATAATAATAATAATAGTAAACTAAGTAGTTTTGTCCTGTTTTCAATTTAAATATCTAAATGTTTTTTAATCAAGATGCATACTAGACACATAAAATAGCAAAATAAATTATGTCTTGTTTTCTGAAAAAAACACCTCAAAATTAAGTGATTGTTTACCTAAAACAAGCTGAATTATTTGGGGGTAAGTAAGAATAGTTCTTAATGAGATATAATCACACAGAAGCTTTAAGCATCACTTCATTTTCTCATATCATTTTTTTTGTCTGTTCTTGATTTAAGATTTTTTAGATATGGAACTGGAAACCAGATGAAATGACTAAGAAAGAAAAGTTTTTTTTTTTGCAGTGCAGCTATACATGACTTCAGATGGAAAAATGAATGATCCAAAAAAAAAGTGAAAAACCTTTCACTCGTGAGTTTAAAAGATCTTGCGTGTTTAAAAGATGAGGCGTGTTTTCCTAATTCATAAAACGCAGAACACGCAGGATTCAGCACGTAAATTCACCAGTTACTTCCCAAATACATGCAAGTAAGTGTCTGGTATACTTAGACAAGAAAAGATTCTACTTTATTGTTACTTTCACTACGTGTAATGTGTATCTGATATGAATAAAACACATTTGCCAATTATATTTGAATGGATTGTAAGAGTTCCATAGACTTCCATGTGTTTTACAAACTCTAAATGTATTGTTTTCCTAGTATTTGTGTGTATTTACATGTCTAAAAAAGGAATTAAGCATTAGGCGGTTAAAACGCTGTGTAATTGTAATGATATGACACGTCTTTCTCTGGATCAGCGCCAGCAACGCACCAAAGCTCTGTTTGATTTTTTTCAGTTGCCCCTCTACGGGTAATCGAGCTAACGCTAACTTGTCATGCTTGTCAAGCTGGATAACGAGTAAAACACCAGCACCAGGGACTTTATGGTCCTCACTTCAAAATGGAAAAAAAGTTGGATCCTGTAGTGATTTACCCTGCTGCTAAACTCCCTTCCTCATCATCCCAGTCTATGTGGCGCCAAACTCTATATCAGTGCACGAGAGAGACCATGTTCACTCTGCTCTGCGCTGAACTAAAGTGTTTTTTTAACAATCAAACGCCCCCATGTCGTGTGACACAACAAATCGATTATGAAATTTATTGCCAATGCTTTAAGTAATAGATTTTCATCAATTTAATCAATTCGTTGTTAAAGCCCTATTTGGGATATCTGAATTATGAAACAACAATATTTCAGAAAATTATCACCTACTGCACCTTTAATTAGTGGCATCAGTAGTAGAAAAAACAAATACTCAGGAAGTCAATGGTTTTTGGTTTTCAACATTTTTTCTGAATGTTTGTTTTTGAGTGAACTGTCCACCTCTAGTAAATTCCAGATTTTCAATTACTTGCCTTGATGTATAGAATGCGAGGCAGTTCCAGTTTGCTTACAATTTAGCATTTAAACAACATGCTAGTTGTTTGTTGCTTGATTGCTGATTTAGTGTTTTCATTATCAGCATCTGTGGTTTGAGCATCAGTTATGCATTGGTGTTATTTATGCGCAGTTGACATGTTGTTTACGAATAGCTATATTTCAACCTTCTTACATTAAGTAGCCAAATTGATTAAAAATATGCAACACTGATGTCTAAGATCACATTGCATGTTGTTACCAACCATAATCAACATGAAACTATTGTGTAAGTATACTTGTTTACTACCATTTAATAGATATGAGAGAATTAGATTTCCAATCAGACAATTACAGCAACTGAAGTGAACAGAGATTTTTTTAGCTCCACCCACTCACTTATAGTATGTGAATGATGGTAAATATCCGGAAAATTTCCGGAATGACTTTACCGGTGAATTTAAAAAAAAAGCTGTTCACACAGGCAAGGATGTTACGGAATTTTTTCCGGTAAAGACTTTTCACACATCCGTTTCAAAATATCAGTTAATTCTGACATCATTAATCAGAAATGACCTCAAAACGTCTGTGCTTGTATTTGTTTACATTTGACTACATATACAAACTCTGTGGGTGGATCAGTATTGTGAACAACTTTGATGAAAACATATTGAGAAACACTATCGCATGTCGGTATGTACATAATATGTGTGTGTGTGTGTGCTGGTGCTCACCGGCTGCTTCACATGCACACGTGACGTATCAAGCAACTGAAGGAAGCATAGCTTGAAGGTAAACAAACAGCGGCTTATCATAGGCATCTTATCGATAATTATTTACACAGTTGGCATTAAGAAGGAACATAGAAACGTTATTTGACTAACATCTAACAGCTAAATGTGTCTGGAAAATGTTCAAAGGCTGTTATTTTCATGAACCGCGTGAACGCGAATGTGTCTGAATGTTCTGATTGGCTATAGTAGACATCTCACGTCAGAGCATTCTAGACCTGAACACTCTTTTTCCAGCAATCTTCCTTCTGCGTTCACACAGTGCAGCATTCCTGCAAATTACCGGAAATTTTACAACTTCTCTCTCCGGAAAATAGCCGGAACAAATTTACCAGTATTTTCAAAAAGGGCCTGTTCACACATACAGACCTTTTAATTTTCCAGTAAGGTCTTTATGTGTAAAAAGGGCAATCATCGGTCAACCTACACTGTCTAAATACTTAATATAATGTAATATTTATAATTTTATTTTTGTATAATTTTACTTTACTTCATAATTTTACTTTTAATTTTAGGATTTTATTTATTTATTATATAAATTTTCAGTTTTATCAATTTTCATCTTCTCTTTTTTTTTCTTCAAATCAAAGGCTTTTGAAAACTCCTATAAAAAGAAAATGCTTCCGGAACCAGCGCTGCTGAAAAAGTGGATGAACACTTAGTTGCTCATTCATACAGACAGTATTTCAGCATCTTTTTTTTTTTTTTTTTTTTTACTCTTCAGAACTTTTCAAAACGCATCTAAAAAAAATGCAGCTGCCGACCCCAAACACTGATGGTGTGAAGTTTTGTTATGAATTTGCAACAACACGAGGAACAGTAAATGGTGCCCAAACTAATATTTGCCCAAGTATAGAGTTTAAAGTGTTCTTTCATAAGCATGTTCCCAAATTAAAATTTTAAAAGTCAAACATTGTAATAAAAGTATATTCAACACAGGCTTTTGATTCAGGGAGAGGTTTCCCACAAATCTCCATCTTTATGTACTACTTGGACTTAAAGACAGCTGGATTTAGACATCTCTCTCTAAATCAAACGGTCTCTGAAGTGCTATGCATTACAGAATCTCTGATGTGCTTTAAAGCAGAACACTCTTCATTATTTATTCACAGGAAAGTGCACAACCGCACACAGCATATAAATGTGGATGTTCCTAGTGGTTTATTAACACCAGTACATTCATCTAATGCCCTTTGGAGTTTACAGTTTATGTAATGGAATAACTGAAGAGAATCAAGAGAGATTATTTTGGTAAAGCCACCAGCATGGGCATAGAAACACCATGTGTTTCACCATGTGCAGTCAGTTGAAGCAGGTGTCAAGGTGTTATGTGAACATAAATTTCCCTTTTTAGCATATTAAAAGAGCTTAGCAGAGATTATTTTGCTGAAATGTTTTCACTTTCAACTTTTTATCCACTGTTCCTGTTGAATTGGATTATATAGTGTTGAAAAGGGAGCACAGGTTGCTGGAGTGTTTTGTTTTTTTTATATTTCCCTCAGAAAAATCGAAGGCCTCTTGACCTACTTTATACAAAACTGCAGACAGACTTCGGGCAGAATCCACCTGTTCATGCTTTCAGACATGTAGATCCGGCTGATCTGACGGGCAGCTAACCAATAGAAATGTGTTTCAATGATTAAAAACTTCTTCCTGACAAACAGGTTAAACCTATAAATATAGAAAAGATGCATCATAGCAAAAATGTCTTTAATCAGAAAAAAGTCAGAATTTGGCAGGGGTATAAATAATTTAGGGTTTAGGTCTTATAAATTATTATATAAATACAAATATTTTATTAAATGAAAAAGTTAAATTGTTAAATATTTATTACTATTTTAAATAACTGCTTTCTTATTGTGTGTAGTTTCAAATGAAATTATTTCTCCAGTCATTATTGCTTTAATTACTACTACGATTAATAATAATATTAATAATAATAATAATTAATAGTAGAGTAATTAATAAATCATGTGGCTCTTAAGACTGGAGTAATGAAGCTGAAAATTCATCTTTAAAATTACTGAAATAAGTGATTTAATTAAATGAACTGCTTTTGAACAGTTATTTCACACTAGCACTTTTGGTCCGCACCCGGGTTCGTTTGACGTCAGAGTACGGTACGTTTAGCTAGTGTGAACGTGTCTTCTGAACTCAGTGTGAACCATACCTGAGTCCGCCTGAATAGGTGGTCTGGGGTACGGTTCACGCAAACTCTAGTCCAGTTCACTTCTGGTATGAATGCAATTGTACCAAATAATGGAAGTGAACTGACAACTGTAAAACAAACTATCATTTTTGTAATGTTCATTCATGTGCGTGAGTGTGTGTATGTGTGTGCGTGTTTATGTGTGTGGCTGTGTATCTTGTACTATACCTTGGTGACAAGTGGAACTGAGCCAGGCCAAACATATGTGATAATGTCTGCTTGACTCCTCCACAAACAGCTTCTGCAGACATCGCGTGATGCTCTGAACTTTTATAATATTTTTGCGGCAGATAGACGCGAGTCACTTTCTGTAAGTCCAAAACCAAAAGATTCAGTAAAAGCAGAATGACTGTGCACATGATGTGTGGACATCTTTGAATTTTGGCGCTTTACTTTCGTGCCCGTCACCTAGCAATAGCTGTACATACAACAGCAGCTCGATGACGCAAGCGTAAGAAAGAAGCTTCAGAAGGAAAAAAGACAGTAGCTGCATCCCAAATGGCACACTATACACTATGCACTCATGCACTATGTACTTATGCATTTAAACACTCAACAGGATAGTATATGTATGTAGTGTTGTCCCAAAAATTTTTTTACTAAGCGGAAATTCAAACCGTTTACCTATTGACGTTTGACTGTCGCCAAATCGGGTGAAATAAACGACCGAATTGTCGAATGTTACCTGCTGTGAGTATAACTGCATTCACCATCGGGAGGCGCTATAGTATAGAGAATTTTGCTTTCACCATCCAAAATAAGTTATCCAACATGTGCGCCCGATAGCTCCGCCCCTTCCGCTACATAAGCAAACCTGCGGTCGTTGAGTGCGTGACGTGTCCATCATTACACACTTCATTTTAGCAGCTGAATGAGTGCATCATCCGGGTAATTAAAGTGCACTTAATATTTTTAGAGTTTTCAGTGTAAGCACACTACCTACACTATTTATACTACAAAATGGCATAGAATAGTGCATAAATATGTGATTTGGGACGCAGCTAGTGTGAACACAAACCAGCCGAGAAGGTGGCAAAAGGGCACAATCAAACTTGGGTATGGTCCAGGCAATTGAACCAAGTTTCAAAGCAACTAGTATTAGTGTAATAACGTTTACAATTTTACAATTTTTACTGTATTTTTGATGAAATAAATGCAGCCTTGGTGAAAAATCGTACTGACCCCAAACTTTTTATTGGTATACAGTCTAAAAAATCTGTGGATTTATGCAGAATGAGTTTGAGAATATAGAATATACTTACTTTAATTTAAGGTTTATCATTTTATTAAATATTAGAATGACTTGCTTGGTAAACAGCGACAGCTAGTCTCATATAACACATCCACTTAAAAACAGAAAATCTTATTTTAAAAGCTCTATTGTACATAGATCATGTAAACATCTGCATATAATTCTATCATTTTTATGACATTAATTTGTGCATAAATAATGATAATAATAAACATAAATGGTGTATGTCTGACGAGAATATTTGCTACTGTATATAAAATATAAATAAATAATACTTATAATAATACATACCAAATGATGTTTTAAATGTTTGTGCTCTGTGAATCATTGTAAAAAGATTTCATCCGTTCATTCATTTGTTATTTGCTCAGAAAAAAAATAAAAATAAATAAATAACAGGACACATAATAATACACCGGAGGAAAAAAAAACTGTATTTAACTTGTGTTTTGATAGTTATAAACCTTAATTCATCTTAACATAATCTTTGAAAGCTAGGGCACATTATTGAGAAGCACATAATAAAACGAAAATGTCACAAAATATTCTTGAATGCCTTTTTTTAAACCCTCACTATCTGGATGTCTTAAAGGAGTTCAAGCATCGACAGCTAAATGCTTTCAAATGGGATTTAACGGATATCCAGTCTTGGCCGTGGTGTGAACAATATCTATTGTCATGCAAGATTACATCTTTGTGCTCTTATAAACTCTGCTAAAACTTATTTAACAGTCTTCGTTCTGCCCACGGCGTGATGAGAATAGTTTTTGACATATGGACGGTTACTGTGTGTTTGGCAGACTGTTGTTTGCTTCCGGGCAGCAGCATGCAAGCTAGTATTGCAGTGTAGCTATAAACAATGCTTTATTACAGGACAGAAACAGGTCTTTTCTCCAAGTTTGAAGTTTTAATTTAATGTTTTGTAGAGCATCAGTAAGCTTTCGTCTTGTGAGAACCTCAGGCATGTTTATATGAATGGTTTGTTTATGCAGTGAAATGCTGATTTGAAGGTTCTTGATGACACATTAGAAAACAGATGTGATCAAAGAGGAAGAACGTAGATGCTAGTTTATTTCTAAAATGACTTATTATTGTCTGTTGCTCTTTTCTCAGCTACTGGGACACGGCGTACGACAGTGATGTCATGGATGATCGTGTGGGACTCAACTTATTATACGCTCAGGTAACAAGCTCAAGTGTACTGTCTGTGTGGGCCATCGCACATAAACTTGTCATGGTGGGCATAATGTATCGAGAAAATAATGTAGCTCCTGTTCCGATTTTCAGAATAATGTTTTTATATGTGTGTGGGTAAATGTATAATGCAGGATTTTTATTTCCTTGGGTATCATTTAACATTTATTTTGTTTTATTTTAATCCTTTATTTAAAATTTGATTGAAAACTTTTTTTTTTGTTAGTTAAAATAAATTGTAATAAAGTAATAAATCTTAAGTTTAATTCAATTACATGACTAGAAATAAAATGTAAAAAAAAATGTTTGTGACACAGTTGAAGTCAAATTTATTAGCCCCCTCAAATTATTAGCCCCCTGTTTATTTTTCAAGATTTTTTTTCAACACATTTCTTAGCATAATAGTTTTGATAACTCATTTCTAATAACTGATTTATTTTATCTTTGCCATGATGACAGTACATAATATTTTACACAATATTTTTTCCAAATGCTTTTATACAGCTTAAAGTGACATTTAAAGGCTTAACTAGGTTAATTAGGTTAACTAGGCAGGTTAGGCTAATTAGGCCTAATAAAGTTATTGTATAACGATGGTTTGTTCTGTAGACAAAAAAAATTAGCTTAAAGGGGCTACAAATTTGACCTTAAAAGGGTTTTTTATAAAATTATCCAAAATAAAACAAATCAGACTTTCTCCAGAAGAAAAAAATATTATCAGACATACTGTGAAAATTTCCTTGCTCTGTTAAAAATCGTTTGGAGAATATTTAGAAAATAAAAAAGTCAAAGGGGGACTAATAATTCTGACTTCAACTGTATATTATACAATTTGTTTAATAATTTTTTATCTATATAAAATGGAAATTCATCTGCTTTTAGTTATTTTGAACAAAAATACCACACTGCTCAGACTTTTCTATTAAAATGCCATCTTCTATATTTCAACCAAACATTACATATGTGTTCTATTACAGTGGTTCCAAAAGTGGGGGTCGCAGGACAATGACAGGGGGTTGCTTAGTGATTTCCAAAAGTCAAATACATTTGATTAAAGCATTAGAATTACCATATTTTATCCAAAAAACCAACAACATGCAAATGAAAAGCCATTCATCTTTTAATTTTGTTTAATAGGATTGGTGTGTTTATGTTAGATTAACAACACCGCAATGGTTAACCAGGTTAAACTTTCTGGCACCTTTATGGCAATCAAATCCATTAAAAATAAATACAGGCCACAACTAATTATTGAGAATGATCTCTGAAAATTAAACAAGAATATACTTGTGCTAAAAATACTGTGCCCAGCAGTCTCATTAGGTGAGTTTAATATTAAATGAAACAAAATAATAAATAACTATAAATTATAGCCTACGGTTGAATGTGGGGGTTGCGAGTCACTGGCATTCTTATTATAGGGGTCGTGGGCTGAAAAGTTTAGGAATCCCTGATTTGTTAGTTAACACGGGTAAAAGTACTAGTTCGCCCAAAAAATATATATATATATATAATTTATTCTCCTTCATTTGGGTTTAAACCTTTATGAGTTTTATCAGCAGATATTTTGAAGAATGCTGGTTTCTGGCACCCATTGTCTTCCGTATTAGAAAAAAATAGCTACCAGCATTTTTCAAAATATCTTCTTTTGTGTTCAACAGAAGAAACTCAAAAAGGTTTTAAACAAGTGAAGGGTGAGTTAAAGATGGCACAGTTTTAATTATTGGATGAACGGTGCCTTTAAAACATAAGGTATCTTGGAATATATTATTTTATATACACTTTTTATTAATTTTTTAGGTCATAAATGATAAATATTGCATCAAAATTGACCTTAAATAACAATAAACATTACATTTATAAATTAAAGCAGTATTTAATTTTTTTTTTTATTATTCAAAGTCATTATTTACTCACCCTTTACTTGCAACAAACCCATTTGAGTTTCTGTCTTGGCATGAGCATAGAAGAAGATATTGTGAAGAATGTTAGAAACTAGTAGTCACTGACATCCATAGTGTTTTTATTATCTATTTATAACTATCTTTATTATTTATGTGTAACTATGGAGGTCATTGGTTCACAACATTCCTTAGAATATCCTTTTGTCTTCAACAGAAGAACGTAACTCATAAAGGTTTGAAACCACATAAGAGCACATTTTCATTTTTGAGAAAAATGTCCCTTTAACACTGAACTGGCAGAAGAGTTGTTTTCTTTCATCTCAAACTCACAAATCTCCTTTAAAACACACAAGTTATTGAGAAATCAAGCTCAGAGTGAAACCCTGTCTTCTTCCTCTCAGACGGTGTCAGACATTGACCGAGGATGGATCCTGGTAAACAAAGAGCAGCACAGACAGCTGAAATCCCTGCAGGAGAAGGGCTCAAAGAAGGAGGTACGGCTGAGCTCCACCACACACGATATTTGATCTCCCTTGTGTCTATGAGAGAATGACTGCTTTTATAGAAGCTCAAATCCATTCTCAGGCCTGGATTTATCATGGAGAATGTTAACATGAATACCAATAAGCTGATAATAACTTCATCAAAAGTCAGTGTTTTGTAATTAGGGCTTGGTAACAATTGAAAATGATTGAATTATCGCAAAAGTGGATATAGCAACATACATATCGCAATGGTTTGCAATAAATTAATGATTTAATACAAAATAATCTTTGGTACCTAACATTAGCACACCCAATAATTGGATTTAACGTCTCACAGTTTTATTCATTTAGCTATCATCACTTACATAAATGAACAAAAGTGTCTAGTAAAAACCAGTGAAAAGGAAATATCAAAGATTGTGAATAATTACAGTGGTTCCTCACTATAATGCAGTTAACCTTTCGTGGCCTCGTAGTTTCACAGATTTTTTTGTGCAATTTAACATGTTTTTTTTTGTTTTTTTTTTAATATCGCATTGTGTTCTGCGTCCTGATTGGCTGTATACTACTGTCAATCAATCTCTTCCATGCCATGTCTCCTACAGAACAGAATGCATTCCGCTTGCCAAATTTACATACATTTTTCATGCCAAAAGACAGAGGAAGGTACTAACCATTTCACAAAAGGTTGGACTTCTGGACATGCTAAAGAAGGTAGAAGTTACATTGCTGTAGGGCTCCATTGTGGAATGAAAATACAGTTAATAAAATTCAGTTTTTGATCTATAATAATTGAAATAATAATTAAAAAAAATAAAGCTGACTACTTTCCGCATTTCGCCTATTGCGGGCTATATTTAAAACGTAACTCCCGTGATTAACGAGGGACCACTGTATTGGTTTGATTGCATTTTAAATTCTCAAGATGCAGAGATTTTAAATGTAGCAAAATAGTTTCTTCCTAATAAGATAAGAACACATTTTTGTAATTCCTTGGGTAAATAAAGTATTTAAGTTTGTTGTATATTTCCTCCTCCTTTAGGAAAAAGTTGGGATGTGCTTATATTCGCAGTAGCACACATACACACTTTAAACTGACTGAAAGCAGATTAATGTGTTAACATATTTGGTGAAATCTGTGCACTGGACATAAAATGTCACTAGGTCCGCCAAGAAAAACACACTTACGCTCTATTTTATAAATAGTGTAAGTAGTGCATTCACACTGAAAACTCTAAAAAGAGTCCTCAGTGACAAGAAGGCTTTGTGCCGAAACGTCTGTGTCTTTCAATCACCCGTAAAATGTAAGAAAATAAAAACAGTATGAAGCAATTGAGTGCGAATCATTACCTTTTTTTGAATAATACCATTTTTCACACCGATGATTTTTGAGTTGATGACGGGTCCAGATATTTAGCAAGCCAAATATTTCACTGGCTTTAGTCGCACAGGTTTGTCTCCGATTTGTCAGCGATTTTACAAACCCTGTAGACAAGTGAAAATAGATTCTAAAATCCCTAAAAATGTTCTTGTTACCACACTCAGGGTGAAGAATTGATTATGCAGTCATTTGTGTCTGTTTGACAAACATCTGTGTTTTGTTTTACAGTTCATCAGATTGGCTCAGACACTGAAGTACTACGGCTATATCAAGTTTGATCCCTGCATCACAGATTTTCCAGAGAAGGGCTGTCATGTTATAGTCGGAGCTGGAAACAATGAGCTCAACTTCCACGTCAAGCTGCCCAACGAGCAGATGAAAGAGGGCAGCTTCAAAGTCACGCGCATGAGATGCTGGCGGGTCACGTCATCTGTAAGTTCAGTCTTTGACAATATAGAGTGTTTGGTTTGTTCAACTCAGAATGAAAATACTGTCATCATTTGCTCACTCTCATGTTGTTCCATAAACAACAAGGAATTAGCCAGTCTTAAGATACAAATTAAGATACATTTAATCAAATCAGAGAGATTCTGTTCACTTAGAGTGTACTCGCATCAGGCTGAGCACGCTTACGTCATCGATGACGTGACTGTTCAGTTTAACAGAAGAGAAGCACTCTCGCTCCATACAATAGAGATTGCTTTAGTTCTATTGTTTTGTATTATTTTAAGTCGTTTGATATGCAGTGACAGTGAAATCTTTTGCTGAACAGATCCACCACTTTTGACACACAAATGTTCAAGAAAGTCTTTATGCTGCATGTATTGGGAGGTTTGCATTTTTAGTAGACTAAGATAGATCGCGTTCATTGAAAAGTAAGGATAATTATTAAATCCATATGAAACAGTCCCTTAAAAGTGAAATCGGGTCATCAGTTTCACACTCAGGCACACTTTGCACTCACACTACAAGCGTACCATGCCAAAGCCTGGCCCAGTTCACCAGGCCACAGCTTTTCTTCCTGAATGAATGCATAATAATCGTGATAACCGTGAAACCGTGATTATTTCTCAGACTATAATTGTACAACCGAAATCTATAATCGTTGCATCCCTACCTCAGACCCCCTGGAGACTGCAGTGATGGAGATGAAAGTTGTAGCGGCTCTGCATGTTCACTGTCTTTCGTTTTCTGATAATAGGAAAGTTTATAAACCACATATTTTAGAACGCTCATGGTATAATCTTTGATTAGGGCGGGTGTCCACCAAATGTGTATTTGTGCATCTGACAATCACAGCATTCTGCAAAAAATAAAAACTCATCTGTGAGCACTTCACCGACTGTCAAAGCATTTATAAAATGGTGAGCCTGTAATGTTTCACATGAAGCAGATACTTTAGATACTAGTTTAGTGCTTTGTCTTGCTACTGGCGTTCTAAAAAAACACTGCGCTCTCAATGTAAACAACTGAAAAATTAGTATCAGGAAAAAAACAGTTCCATAGACTGCACTTAGTGCTAGACCGGAAATGCAAGCTTGAATGACAAGTTTGAATGACTAGTCGCAGCATTCCAAAGTCTCGGGAAATCATAGCGGTGAATTTGCATCATGTGATTGGATGAGACAAATAGATCAAAATGTGACCTCTCTGTAAAGAAATGTCAAATGTGCAGCAATCCCTTATTTTATCTTTGTTGCATCATTCTGTTTTATTTCATCCATTTTCGCAGCACCATACGTCAGAATCCCAAATGCTCCACTTTGTGCGCTAGAGTCAGTTTTATACAATTTAAAACCATTCACAGAGCTCATCTCTCAAAGGCCAAACTTTCTAAAATATACCCCAATGTTTCAGATCTGTGTGATAAATGTAAACGTGTTTGTATTTTGTTCCAAGTTGCAAAACTTTTGGATTCATTTCTTTAAAAATGTTTCTGATATTCTGGGGCTCAAGTTAGCTGTTTGCCCTTTATCGCTATCTTTGGTGTTTTCTCTCGGTGTCAACCTTTAAACCGGAGACAGGCTGACATTGTGGCTTTTCTTAGGCACAGAATACTGTTGTCTTGGACCTCCCTACAACCCCCCTCTGTTTCATTGTGGCTCAAAGATTTGGTCTTCTTTTTAAAAATTGAGAAAATTAAAAACAAAATCAGAGGTAGGGGACAGTTTTTTTCAACAATTTTTTGCATTCTTTAATCCCTTAAATACCTTAGATGTGGATTGAGTGAAGGTGCAGGTGTATGGTTTTTTTTATGTTTATGATATTATTTTATTTACTTTTTATTTTTTCAGATGTTAATTGTTTTATTTGGGGATTGTTTTGTGGGTTGTTGTAAAATGCTATTTGCAAGAATTAAAATTCCATGACAAAAAAAACGAACTTTGCATGCTCAAATGGCGGCTTTAGACCAGCAAGATAGCTTATTTTGTAGTTGCCTATGAATATTCACAGTTACTATATAAACTACAACAGCCATTAGCTTGTATAGGTTTAATTTTTTTATTTCTTTGTAAACATTTTAGATCAGGTTTTGGCTGAATAGACTTATAAGACGTGGGGGCAAGAAATCTGCATGTAGAGCATGGTTCACTTGGATTCCTATCAAAATGGCTTGATTTTGCTGAGCAACGGTAAATGCGCCTGAACATCTCGGGCTAGATTTATTAAACAGGACAAATTAGCATGAGATCACAAACCCATAAAATGCAGATGCAGTGTAAAGTACTGTAAGTGATCTAATCACAGTGTGTGAATTTAAAAATGCAGCCACAGCAGCTCGGTTTATTTAGGTCCAATGCAGTCTTTATTGTTCTGTTCAACAATAGCATTCTGATTAAAATAGCACTGTTTCCTCAAAAGAAAAATGTACAGCAAAACATTTTCAACATTGATTATCATAAGAAACATTTTTAATAATCAACACCAGTAACAACAGCGCATTGAATTATCATATTGGAATGGTTTCCAAAGGATCACGTGACCATGAAGACTGAAGGGATGATGCTAAAAATGTATCTTTATTTCAACTATTAAATATATATATTTCAACATCTTTTAATTTTTAAATTTAAGTTGTAAAATGTATTTAAAACAACAAAACATTTCTTTTAAACTTTACAAATATTTTAAAAATGCAGTTTGATGCATTTTTTTTTTTTTTTGATGAGTGAGCATTATAAACTTGTTTCATACACAAAGTCATGAAGTTCTAACAGCAAGGATATAGGAAAACTTCCAGACGGCTCTCTGAATTCTTTCTATGACTGTCCCCTCAGGCATGTCTGCTTGCTCTATTTTTGAAAATGGGAAGTCAAAAAGAGGATGACCAAAACGCCACTTACAACAAGAAATAAAAAAATAAGACTGTGTTCTTTGTTTCTTTGCTTTACATCAATTTCTCCATTCATATTTTCTACTTGGCAGTCCAGTCCTGCATTTCCACCAAATTCATTTGTTTATGTCAGTTCACAGCCACATTATTATACAAAAATTATCCCATAAGTTTTGAGAAAAAAATCCCTTACAAAATCAGTCATTTTAGGCTATCCATATAATAAACATCCCCTTGCAAAATCCTGGAAGGACCTATGGAAAAATGGTTTCATTTAAATCATTTGCTTAATTTTGGGGGTGTTCAAAGTCTGTCCTGGAAGGCCGGTGTCCCGCAAATTTTAGCTCCAACTTGCCTCAACACACCTGCAAGGATGTTTCTAGAAAGCCTAGTAAGAGCTTGATTAGTTCAAACCCCAATCAGACACATGTGGGCTAGCTAAACTGTGCAGGACAACGGCCCTCCAGGACCCAGTTTGTACATGCCTGGCTTAATTTAACTGTATTAAGAAAACCTAGAAGCACTATTCCTCCATCATTCGTAGTTTTTATAAACCAAAAGCATCCAGATTTCTTTTTTTGATACCTCTTCACATATCGGTTTCCAGTTGAATCCAATGCAAGTTATGTTGATATATTAACACCAGTTTTGTATAATATATTAAGACACTTTTACACCTATCGATAAACCATAATAATATGACATTTTATCTTTTTTCTTCACATAAAAGTGAAAGTTTAAGCAAATAAAATGTATGTACATCATTTAAAACCTTTTTCACAGTGATATTATGTTGTTTCAAACTGAATTTGTTAAAAAAATGGATGTAGGTTTGAAAATGACTCAATTTAACTGTGATGAAACACTCTAGAAGCATATTTCCTCCATTATCCCGTCTTTTTTCACAGCGGATATAAAAACCAACAATGTCCAAGCAACATTTTCTGATAACGTTCTCCAGTTGGGTCTAATGTAAACAGATACATTTGCATTCCGGTTTCACTGGCGAGAGGAAGTTATCTCTGCTCGGCTCGGTCTTTGGCCTAGAATAGCTGAGTTGTGTTACTAATGAGCTTCGAATGACCGTCCTCTGAGACCAGGATCTGACGCTGAGCATTCTGGGATTGACAGAGTTTCCAGTGTGCGTCGTAAAGAACAAGATGCTTCTGTGTGTTGTTTTTTTGCGCGATGCTGTGTAATTACGAGGACGATGACATTTAGAGCAGAGCTAATGATGACTAATTGAGCTTTAAAGATAATTGGCGTGTCGAGGAGTTTAGAAATGGCCTCTGTAATTGCCTCGGCACAAATAACAGTGATTATGATGATGGTATTTGTGATGGCCGTGCTCTGACTCTCTACAGCAGGTGCCGGTGGCCAACGGTACCGCAAACCCCAGCAGCTCCAGTAAATGTGATGTGAAGCTTGAGCTGGCCTTCGAGTACTTGATGAGCAAAGACCGTCTGCAGTGGGTCACCATCACCAGTCAACAGGTCAGGGCATGACTTATGGGTCTTATTCATATTCGCCATTATTTTGTTGGATCCGGGTCCATTTCAACTTAGATGACATACTTTTTTTTTTAATGTAGGCTGAAGGGTATGAAAATTACCCATCGTTTAAATAAAAATATGTATATTTTGCCAAGTTTTTTTTTAAGATAGGGAAACTAAACAAGATAAAATAATCATGCTATTCATCTTTTGGGGATTTTGGAATCAGGTACACATTGGACTAAACTCACCGGCCTCTTTATTAGGTACACCTGTCCAGCTGCTTGTTAGCGCAAATTTGTAATCAGCCAATCACATGGCAGCAACTTAATGCATTTAGGCATGTAGATATGGTCAAGACGAACTGCTGCAGTTCAAACTGAGCATCAGAATGGGATTTAAGTGACTTTGAATGTGGCATGGTTGTTGGTGCCAGACAGGCTAATCTGAGTATTTCAGAAACTGCTGATCTACTGGGATTTTCACGCACAACCATCTATAGGGGTTTGCTAAGAATGGTGATGATGCCAGAGGGGAATGGTCAGACTTTTTCCAGCTAATAAAAAGGCAACAGTAACTCAAATAACCACTCGTTACAACTGAGGAATGCAGAAGAGCATCTCTGAATGCACAACACGTCCAACCTTGAGGCAGATGGGCTACAGCAGCAGAAGACCACACTGGGTGCCACTCCCTGCCAGCTAAGAACAATAAACTGAGGCTACAATTCACACAGGCTCACCAAAACTGGACAGTAGAAGATTGGAAAAACGTTGCCTGGTCTGATGAGTCTCGATTTCTGCTGTGACATTCAGATGGTAGGGTCAGAATTTGGCGTCCACAACATGAAAACATGGATACCTTCAGCACAAAATTAAGAACTTTCAAACAGAATAATGGGACATTTTATATTATCAGTGGTTTAAAAATTAGAAAAAAAGTTAGATGGACATTTGAATATCCAGCATGGACTGATTTAAAGCACTTCAAATTAGATTTAAGTTTGTCTTTTTTTTTCCCCCTCTCAGGCTATCATGATGAGCATCTGTCTGCAGTCTATGGTAGATGAGCTGATGGTGAAAAAATCTGGCGGAAGCATTAAAAAGGTCAGTTGGTCTGTGTTTGTGTTCTCGTAAAGACCTGCCAAATATCTGAGGAGTCTCTCAAATATCTTTCAGTTCCTTGTATCATACTGTATCTGTTTTATGTCATGTAGGAAATTAGTATTTGCAACGTGGGACTGGTTTGATCAACCCTTTCAGGATTAAAAGCTTAATTGGCCTTGAAATCTTCTTTGTCTTCTTTTGTCTTCTAGATTTGAGAAAATGTAGTTGCAAAACTTCCTTCGCTTTTTTAAAAACGTTAACACAAACCTGTTGTGAAGGAAGAGCAGATCACTTTTTTTCCTGTATTGTAACAAACACTAATGAAATTGAAAATACAATGTACTTTGTAGGCAGAGGCAGTTCTGAATGTGAGCTTCTCTGGGTGATTATTAATGGAAGCAACTCACTTTAAGTAGATCAAATTATTGGAGAAGTGTTTTAAACATTATCTGGGAGAAAAAAAGTTATGACGTTTATATGAAAAATGTAAGGGCTAATGAGAAAAGGGGTGATTCATTCACAAATAAATCTAGAAATTTCATTGACAAAAAGAAAAGCATTCATGGATAAATTATTTTAAATAAAATCAATACATTTTTAGAAATGCAATTACCAAGATCATCAACAAAAACTATATAGCTACAAAAACATGGAGTTCCAGAATTGAGTCATGAAAAAATGAGAGGACTTGAATAGAAAGTTGTTTTAATAAAAACAAAAAATAAAAAAAAAATCTGAAGTAATATACACTGATAAATCATGCACAGTCAGATGAGGAATGTGTTACATGTCAAGAAATCGGGTCAGATTGATGTTCAGTTGTTTGTCTTTTAATGTGATTTTGGTGTTTCCAGCAGATGCAGAAGAAGCGACTGAATGGCTCGTTACAGCGCTCTGACAGTCAGCAAGCTGTGAAGTCTCCTCCAATACTGGTGCGCACAATAATGGTCCTACTAATGCAGCTTTACTTTTGATTTGGATGATGTACCATTAATAATATGTGATTTCCATTGTTATTCAGGATTCTCCCGATCCCAACCGTGAACAAGTAGTCAAACTTTCGGTGAGTTTTTAATGTGTATTTATCCTATGTTAGTGCTCTTAACAGTTTCTATTGCATTTATTAGTGTTTCTAATGGGTTTCTAATTTCGTTAATTTTATATTATGGTTGTTTGTGTTCATTTGTTTTTGGGTTAGTGATAAAAGGGTGTTTTGAAACATTAAAACAATAAAAGACATAACATTTTAAACAGACGTTGGAATGTGTACTGTTCATTGTTTTGTTTTAATTGATGAATGAAAATTCTGTTATTAATTACTCACCCTTGTGTCGTTCCAATCCCCTGAGACTTTCATTTATTTTCTGAACACAAGTTAAAATATTCTACATGAAATCTGAGAGCTCTTGATCCTCTATAGGCAACAATAGACCTGTGACATTCAAAGTCCAGAAAAGGAACCGAAAACTTTGTCAAATATTCCATGTGACTTCAGTGGTTCAGCTGTAACCATATGAAGCTCCAGAATTTTGTAAATATGTAAATGACTCTGTTCGCCCGAATCTTCTTATCAGACTGTCAAGGTGCACATTTACTACAGGCAATACCAGTGGAGTTAGCAACACAGCACGCATGGATCATATTGCCCATATTAAACATACCCTGATCTGATACGCAAGACATTGGAGAACAAAGATGTTTTTACAGTTGGAGCCTAGTTAGATTACGTTTTTCCCCCCAAATATGTTTATTGATTTTTTTCCACATGACCTAAACTAAAAAACTATAATACTATAATTAAACAAAAAATAAAGAAATAAATAAAATAAGTAAATAAAAATAAAAAATAATGAATTGAAACATAGATAATATATATATATATATATATATATATATATATATAATAGATAAAAAGAAAAATAGACAATGACAAAATAACAAAAACAATAATACAATAAAAATACATGTTTACGAACACACAAATTACATGATATTCATATGGTTCTCAAAGATGTTCAAAGTTCTTCTGCTTGCCTTTGATGGTTTAACTTCTTCAGTCTATAATTCGTCCATACTTTTTTCATAATTCTATGGATGGAGCATGTATATGTTTCCAGCGTAATGCAATAGCTTTTTCTGACTTGAACAAAACCAAAATTTTTGTATTTTCAATTGTAAGTTCCATAGGATTAGTATGATTACAGTTGAACCACTGAAGTCAGGTGGAAACTTTTGACTTTCTGGACTTTGAACGTCTCATGACCATTGTTGTCTATAGAGGACGAGAGAGCTCCTGGATTTCATCTAAATTCTTAATCTTAATCTGTGTGCTGGAGAGAAACAAAGTCTTAGAGCTGAGAACAAAGACTGAGTTTTCATTTTTTTGATGATCTAATCCTTTCATGACTATGATTTACGGATAACATCCACTAAAATGACATTCGTTCATTATTACAATAGCGTATATACCCTAATCTTGTCAGGCAAATTCACAACTAGAATTACTTAACATATTAAACGATTCTTTTAAAGGATCACAGTTGAATCACTATCAGCAAAAAGCATAGAATCACCAAGAGGCAACGCTCTAGTGCAATTTAGGGAAACAGCCACTAGATGGCGCGGCAGCCATTTTGGAATGATAAAACTTCAATTGGACAATAGCATATTATAAGTCTGTTAAATAAACTATTAAAAGTGCAGATGATTGTGATAGTAAGTGTTCTATTGCCGTCTTTCAGGTTGTATCTCAGCTTTAATGCGCTTTTAAAAAAAAAAAAAAAGACAAAGCAGCTGCATGCCATCGCAACAGCAATAAGATCCAATGGACAGCCGATGGCTTTCACTCAAAAATGGCGGAATCCGGGGCTGTTGCTGGGCGCTGCTGTTGCAATGGAACGTTCTATAGAGTGTCACCTCTTGGTTATTCTTAGCTCTTTGGTATCAGTTCGAGTTTTTTTTTTTTCTTAATGTAAATACTTTGCTAGCATCATTCAAAATACTAGATTTGTCAGCAAGAAATTGTCACATTCTTTAATACGTGTTAGTACGTAATTTATTTCATATTTTGTCATTTTATTGTCATATTACACACAATAACTTTCATTTAGTAGGCTGTGTATTATATAAAATCACTTTTGTACTCCAAATTAAAAGTCTGGTATTTTGATTCATGTTTGTCCCAATTTTTTAGATGATTTAGATTAACTAAGTTTGCATTACATTCTGTTAACTGCCAAGCAACATTTACAATCGAATGTTCCTATTTTATTTTGGATTGTATTTAATTTAAGGAAAATATTTGTAATAAATGTTTGATTTAGCATTTTCTATATTTTTATTTCCACAGACCAAGCTGTCTTCTGTCTCCCTGAGAGGACTTAGTTCTTCCAACTCAGCGGGGGACATCAGTGGCAATGACTTTCATGGAAACTACGCCTTTGAAGGAATAGGGGACGATGACCTGTGATGCAGCCGTCCTTAAAGACCGGAATGAAGGAGGCAGATTCATTTAGCGCTTTCGCTGAGCTGAGTTTCTCTGAGCGTAGTTCAAAAGATGCCCAGTTCTGCAATATCGTAAACCCTTCCAGAAAAAAAATTTAATCGCATCAACAGCTCGAAATATTGCTGACAAAGTACAACAGTTTGACTCGAGTCTCTAATTCGTGAGTGAATGAGATCCAGCTCACGTTCAATTAGTCACAGCAATTAGATATAAACCTTGGAGACTATGAAATGAATCCAGGGCTACATATTCACCTCAGGGCGAGTTACTGCATTCATTTAGACTGTGATGAAAGTTTAATCTTCAGACGGGCTTCAGTGAATCAAACTTCCTTACTAGAGACACAAAACTGTGCTTTTTTCTCTCATTTTGTCAACATCAAGTTTTGCTCTTGCCTACTAGACTAAGATCCATACCAGCAAACTGTGTTGATATGCTTCTATTTAAATCCTTTATTTCACAGAGAAAAGGATCTGCTTCATTTCGTGACTTCTGGCGTGATAAATCAGCTTCCTGTTTTCTTCAGGAGAGGTAATATTGTGGCTTATTCAACTTCATTCATTGCACATCCTAGAAAAATACACAAGTTCAGAATGAAAGCCACCCTCTTTATTGTGGCCTACTTTCTGCTGATTCAACAGTTCAGCTTCTCTAAATGAAAATATATGTAGCGCCAGACACAAGTTGGCTAAAAAGCTTCTCTCATTCAAGCCTTGGCTGTGTCTTGAATCTTGTTTTGGTGTGTTCGGCAGGCCCGCTTGCACTAGCTCAGCTCTTTTTTATTTTATTTTTGAAGCACAGTATTAAGAAAAGAGGGGGATAGGGTGTGCGTTGAGGTGGGCAAACATCCTGGAACATTGGCAAGAGGTTTGCAGATCTGCCATTTATGTGTGCATTTGATGTTTGTTCTGTTATTCATACCAATATATTAAAAAAGTTTCTCATAAATGCCAAATTATAGTTCACTAAAGCATTTTGCACAAAGTAAAATCATGGTAATGTCACTTTTCTTGTTTTTGTTTTTATAAATGTTCATGCAATTTAAAAAAGTATTCTGAATATGAACTAATATCTGTATTATCTTTAGTATATTACAACCAATTACCGCTGATCAAATATATTTCAGGCTGTATATATATAAATATATATTAAAAAAAGACTAGAAACTAACATTTATCAGTGTTTACAGAATTGTAGAGAATTGAAAGTGTTTACAAATTTCACATCTAAATTTGAATGATTGTGTAGTACACTTTATATATTTTATTTTGAAGAATTATCATTCCTGTCCGTCTTTTTTTTTCTATAATCCATTTTGTATTTTACTAAATACATTGTGGCAATCATCTCAGAGGACTGTGATCACATGGTGCTTGGGAAATGGCTGTATTTTACATTTATGCTGGGGTTTTGACTGCATTGATAGTCAGTGAATGAAAGGCATACCCTTCGTAATAAATCCACAGCTATGGAAAAACCAATTGAGACCACTTGAAAATGATCTGGATTTATGATTTATATTTACTATATAAACTTCTCATGACCTTTATTCCAATTAAATGCATTCATTTAGAGAATTTTGTATGCAACAAAAGTGTGCCATGTTTCTTGACGTTTTTATTTATGATTAGAAATCAATACCAACCTCGAAGGAATTAAGAAGTCATTATTTGGTGAGATAACTCCTGAATTCCATTAAAACATTAACATCATAACTGTCATTATCTGATGAAAAACAAAATGCTTCAAGTGACAATATTTCAGAAATACATTTGGAAGTTTTATCAGACGTTTATAGACTTAAACAAATGTTTACTCAAACCCATACCTATTAAATCCAGTAAATCCACTGAATAATCTCAGGTGGTCTCTGAACTTTTTCCGTAGCCGTTCGGTTCCTCCCATGTGCAGAATGTTTAATGGTTGAATGATTGTTTTTCAACTGACGACTATAATTTGTGATCGCCATGTTCATTATTTTGACCAGCATCATCATTTAGGATGAAAAGGGCAAACTGTCTTCACTCCTAAAGCTTGTACGTCTGTCATAATGCTTATCAATATGATTTATTTTTGAAATCATCTCTTCAAATGGAAGATAGAGCCTTCTGGGTTTCAATAAATTTAGGTGCCAAACAACGATTCTCTTCGTATTCGACTTGTTTTCTTCTCCTTGGTGTTATAAAACAAACATGATGGGTATTTCAGAATGTTTGATTATCATATAATGTGGCTCGTCTGTTGACTCCTATGAATCATGCTCTGCAAGTGGACACGCTATGGGACCTCCGAGTCGTGTATGGCAAGGGGCCCGCTTAAATGTGATCCCATTCTAGGTGTGCAGGGTTTATGTTAAATCCCATCTCTGATTAGGACTAGTATAATTCCAACATTCCACCAGAAGTTACTGTGCCTATGTAACCCCGCCGGTCCTACACCACCCAACCCGCTCTGAGCTGGGATTGAACCGGCAGTTCTCTGCATGGGAGTCAGTTACTCTATTAAGGAGCGTAAAGACCATGGCCTCTATCGTCTGTCGCTAGAGCAACTTTAGAAGTCAGACTGAGGTTTATCTGCACAGCACTTCACTAGCTGGCTTCCGCTACATTTACCCTCCTAAACTTTACTTCCATCCGGGTCACGGCACCAATATAACCCGGCTGGAATCGAACCGGCAATTCTTCGCATGAGAGTCGGTTGCAAGGAGTCTAAAGACCATGGCCTCTGTCGCTAGAGCAACTTTAGAGGTCAGAGGAATGTGGTTTATCAGCACAGCACTGCACTAGCTGGCCTCCGCTACACCTATGCAACTCACTAACCAACTCAAAATACAAATAATCCTGGCTAAAAAGCACCATCAGATTTCAAATCATTGTTCAGAAACCAGACTGTCAAATCTCTTTCTCTCAATCTACTTTGGACTTTGTCTTCAGTATGACAATCAAAAGGGGCACTGCTATTATTTCTGTGTCCCCTGGACACACTGTATGGAATTGTGCTTGCTCAAATTGCAAACTGGGCCAATTATATTGAGGATCACACTGAGCTTCTTTCTGATCAGGGCCTCTCTCTGAATTACCCCAGCAATCCTTCAACATTTCATGGTGCCCAAACGGTCCTGTCAAAAAAAAAAGCACCACTGACACAAATTGGAATGCATCACATTGTCAACTTTTTTTGTTTGTTTGTTTTTTAAAACAAGCTTAGGCACTTCAGAAAGTCATTTTGCAAAGTCTGGCAGAAGCAGGATGACTACAGGAGTTGTTTGTGATCTGGTGCTGGCTGGGGCTCAGTCCTCATTAGCATGTTTACTGGTCAGCAGGCCCAGCACTATGGTTCCTGTGACCTCTGGAGAAGATTTGGAAAAACGTGCCATTAGATTGTGTTCTGGGAAAAGAGCGATTGAGGTTGAGCCTTTTTTTAAGGGGGTGGGGATCATATTGGGCTTCCTCTTTGATCAGGACCCTTGGAGTTGTAATAAGCTTATTCCCTTATGCAGTCTCTCCTGCTCCGTAAACCTAACGCGAAAAGTCCTTTCTAAAAAACGTTTTAAAAAGCACTATAAACACCTAGAAACAACCAGAATTTGAAATCTAGTTTGATAATTAGAATAAAAGGTTTGGGCTCAAACAAGCTCAGGCACTTCTTTCTCACAAGCTGACAGCATGAATGTCACTGCAGGAATTGTTTGTGATTGGGTGCTGTCCATGTTCTATCCTCATTACCATGTATACCAGTCACCATGTGCATCACTGTGCGTGGTTTCTGGGACCCCTGGACAGTATATGGACTCAGGTCCCTTTAGACCAGCCAGGGGTGTCCAAACAACGGGCCACGGGCCAGCTGCGGCCCGCAATCAGTTTTGTGGCGGCCCGCGAGGCTTTTTATGAATATTAAAAGAATCTGGCCCGCCATACAAAAATGAATCTAATTCAATAAATCACCACCGGGTGTCGCTATTACATGCCTTCAATTAGGCAGCAGTTCCTGTTATGAAGTAAAACGAACCGAACAAACTGAAAGAAACAATTCATAATCACGTTTTGGCGAGTCATGGCACAAGCAAGAAAAAGGAAAATCAACAGTGAGTGCAGGAAATTTCAGTCACGATGGGGCAAAGAATATTTCTTCACAGAGGTCAGTGGAATATGTGCCTGTTAAATTTGCCAGGAATCAGTTGCAGTAATGAAGGAATATAATATTAAACGACATTATAAAATAAAACATCAGGCCTTTAGCTCTTACACTGGTGCCGAACGAGATCAACAAGTAAAACAAATAGCAGCTGGCTTATCAGCTCAACAACAGAAGGTTTTTTTTCGTGCTAATAAAGTGCAAGAAAATTCTACGCTGGCTAGTTATGATGTAGCCCAGCTAATCGCACAGCACAGGAAACCTTTCACTGAAGGAGAATTTATAAAGGATGAGTGTTGCAAGTGTAATTTGCCCAGAGAAGATTCAAGATTTTAAAAACGAAAGTCTTTCTAGAAACACAGTTGGACGATGAATTAAAATAACAAATTAAAATTATTCCATAACACACATACATACATACATATATATACATACACACACTCATATATATATATATATATATATATATATATATATATATATATATATATATATATATATATATATATATATATGAGCAATTCCGTGCAAATGTCAACCTTGCCATAAAAAAAAATTATGTTTTTACCAAAATATGGAAACCGTTTCTAGGGTTTTTTGTGTAAGCAAGTATTTTACAGTACTTTAAAAATTCTCAAAAATGCATCTATCAATGTTTTCAAACTATTCTATTTGATTTACCAAAGTCACACAAATGGTAATTTCACATCCGTCACATCCATAACGGAGAGATGTCACATTCATAACAACACTTTTTCCTCAGAAATGTAAAAATATTAAATTAAATAAAACCAATCATTTTTGTTTTATAGGGAGCCAACTCTTATCATTTTGATTAGCGTTATTTATTTTGGGTTGTGCAGTTTAATTCACAGAATTTCTACAAAGTGTGTTGTATACCGTAAACTCGCAGACTTTTTTTGTCACATCCATAACGCATGCTTGTTTTCCTCATTTAAAGTACAAAACATGTTTACAGATTGATATTTTTATGCTCCCATAACTCTGTGGCTAGTTGCTCTGGAAAATATAATCACTTTTTTTATATAATGTTAACATATACTTTCTCTGTCAATTTATGTGTTGAGTTTTTACTGCAAATGTCACATCCATAACGCTGGAATTGCTCATATATATATATATATATATATATATATATATATATATATATATATATATATATATATATATATATATATATATATATATATATGTGTGTGTGTGTGTGTGTGTGTGTGTGTGTGTATGTATGCATGTATGCGCGTGTCTGTGTAATGTATGTAATATATGGGCCGGGACAACTTTTATTTTTTATTTTTTGCATCTAGCCCTCGGCCCAAAAAGTTTGGACACCCCTGCTTTAGTCATTGGACTCTTTTTGACTCTTGTGTTTCAGAAGGCCCTGGCTAAAAAAAAAAAAAAAAAAAAAAAAAAGCATCAGTAGTAAGTGCAAAGTTGTGATAACATCCTGAATCATTTTTCAGTGATCTGATTGTTAAATTTTCTTTAAACTTGAGCTTTGTGGTCAAATCAAGCTCTGCCACTTCCGAAACTTATTCTCACAGTCTCACAGCATGAAGATGACTGCAATAGTTGTTAGTGCACTGGTACTGCCCGGGGCTCTGTCTTCATTAGCATGTTTACCGGTGCTGTTCGCAGCAGACTGCAGGGAGGATTACAGCTCTCATTATGGAAGTGTGAGGATTACACATTGCCTGTCTCATCATCTTAATCACATCCTGCTGGCCTAGTAGTAGCTTTCTTCCATGTAGTTCTTCTGTGACTGAAAGATGAGAAATGTGTCGAGACAGAGAAAAAGTTTCAACACAAATGGTTTTATTTGAGGATATTTAAGGCATTAATGAAACCACTGCATAACGAGAAAACACTCAAGCACCACACACCCTACAAGATTTCACCAATTCCAGTCATTTCTTGGCAACCTGAAGGTGTAACTGCATAATGGTGCCTATGGTTACTATCATCCTTCAGTATAGCTGTCAATGCCATGGGTGGCATATGCATGCCTAACATTCCTCAAAGAACAACTTAAAAAATAAATGCTTTATGTTCAGCATGACACGAATATCCACTACGCACCATTTTTCTTCAAGTAAACTCAGACAAATGGCATTTTCACAGTCAATAAGACACACACAACAATAAAAGGCAACACAATCGCCCCGACTTAGTGTGAGCAAAAACAAGATGATCGAAAATCACATCATAATGCTGAACTCCGAAGGCATTTTTGCCAGTAGGCTAGACAAATGATCAATCACATAAAACCTCAAAACAGTCAAACAAGGTAAACTCAAGTGCATGCAAAGTTGCGCCAGGCTTGAAGATTTTCCTATGGCAGTGGTGCTGTAGTGTGTATGGCACTGATAAATGAACCACAGTCAGGCTAAGGGTGCTCTTAGAGAGCTTTGGGTAACACAGACTGCCTTGTTCAAAGGCATTAATCAGAAGTGTCCAAACCTGTTCCTGGAGGGCCACCTTCCTCAGAGTGTAACTCTACACATCTCTCACAAACCTGCAGGAAGTTTCGAGTAATCCTAAACACCTTGATTAGCTGCTTCGGGTGTGTTTGTTTAGAGTCTGCAGGAAGGTTGGCTCTCCAGAAGTAGAACTGGACAACCCCGCATTAGGACATTCAGGTAATGTTCTTTAAATTTGTGCATGACTTCATGTAGCAGCTTATGGACAATTCCAAGAAGTGTCTAAAATAATTCTGGGCACAAAAGAAAAGAACAACAGCCAACAAAGCTTATGCTTGTTACAGTAAAATCTCATACGGACGGCAGTCTTGCAAAAAGAGGTTAAACCTCTTCGTCATCCTCCACCTCTTCCTCATTTCCAGGCAACGGCACTTTAACCCAGCCATCTCCAGCCAGGCTGTGCTTTTTCTGATGCCGTTTGTAGTTGTCCCAGTGTCCAGTGGTGTAGCCACACTCTTGGCACTTATGAGGCTTCTCGCCTGTGTGGCGCAGCATGTGCCGCTTCAGG